GTGGCGGATCAATATGTTCTGGATTCCGACGTAGCCACGCGTAAAAAAGCGACGCATTGGTCAAAACTTGGCCCGTAAAGGTGCCACGCCGCGCATTGGTGCGAATACACAGTGGGTTTGTCCTCGTACGAGAAAACTTTGCGAATGGTTGCTTGCACGTTGGGATCGTTTTTTAAGGTCATTGGTATACTTACGTCACGCGTAGCCTTATCCTCATTGTTCAAAACTTGCTAACAGTGGTTCGTCAAGTCCGGCCTCGTGAAAGACTTCACCAGGATGCTTTATTGGGTCCAGACATTCCTGTTCTCACTTGCTAGCTTTTTCTCAGTGATCTCTTCCATAGATTCAGAGATCCGTTTGGCCAGTATTTGCAGCCAATCATTCGTCATGGACCGAGAAGTTGACTACACCACGGTTTTCGATACAGAGAGAAGGTGTTGGAAAGACTCGTGGCGGATCAATATGTTCTGGATTCCGACGTAGCCACACGTAAAAAAGCGACGCATTGGTCAAAACTTGGCCCGTAAAGGTGCCACGCCGCGCATTGGTGCGAATACACAGTGGGTTTGTCCTCGTACGAGAAAACTTTGCGAATGGTTGCTTGCACGTTGGGATCGTTTTTTAAGGTCATTGGTATACTTACGTCACGCGTAGCCTTATCCTCATTGTTCAAAACTTGCTAACAGTGGTTCGTCAAGTCCGGCCTCGTGAAAGACTTCACCAGGATGCTTTATTGGGTCCAGACATTCCTGTTCTCACTTGCTAGCTTTTTCTCAGTGATCTCTTCCATAGATTCAGAGATGCGTTTGGCCAGTATTTGCAGCCAATCATTCGTCATGGACCGAGAAGTTGACTACACCACGGTTTTCGATACAGAGAGAAGGTGTTGGAAAGACTCGTGGCGGATCAATATGTTCTGGATTCCGACGTAGCCACACGTAAAAAAGCGACGCATTGGTCAAAACTTGGCCCGTAAAGGTGCCACGCCGCGCATTGGTGCGAATACACAGTGGGTTTGTCCTCGTACGAGAAAACTTTGCGAATGGTTGCTTGCACGTTGGGATCGTTTTTTAAAGTCATTGGTATACTTACGTCACGCGTAGCCTTATCCTCATTGTTCAAAACTTGCTAACAGTGGTTCGTCAAGTCCGGCCTCGTAAAAGACTTCACCAGGATGCTTTATTGGGTCCAGACATTCCTGTTCTCACTTGCTAGCTTTTTTCTCAGTGATCTCTTCCATAGATTCAGAGATCCGTTTGGCCAGTATTTGCAGCCAATCATTCGTCATGGACCGAGAAGTTGACTTCACCACGGTTTTCGATACAGAGAGAAGGTGTTGGAAAGACTCGTGGCGGATCAATATGTTCTGGATTCCGACGTAGCCACACGTAAAAAAGCGACGCATTGGTCAAAACTTGGCCCGTAAAGGTGCCACGCCGCGCATTGGTGCGAATACACAGTGGGTTTGTCCTCGTACGAAAAAACTTTGCGAATGGTTGCTTGCACGTTGCGGATCGTTTTTATGTTTAAAGTCATTGGTATACTTACGTCACGCGTAGCCTTATCCTCATTGTTCAAAACTTGCTAACAGTGGTTCGTCAAGTCCCGTCTCGTGAAAGACTTCACCAGGATGCTTTATTGGGTCCAGACATTCCTGTTCTCACTTGCTAGCTTTTTCTCAGTGATCTCTTCCATAGATTCAGAGATCCGTTTGGCCAGTATTTGCAGCCAATCATTCGTCATGGACCGAGAAGTTGACTACACCACGGTTTTCGATACAGAGAGAAGGTGTTGGAAAGACTCGTGGCGGATCAATATGTTCTGGATTCCGACGTAGCCACACGTAAAATAGCGACGCATTGGTCAAAACTTGGCCCGTAAAGGTGCCACGCCGCGCATTGGTGCGAATACACAGTGGGTTTGTCCTCGTACGAAAAAACTTTGCGAATGGTTGCTTGCACGTTGCGGATCGTTTTTCAATGACTTTTAAAGTCATTGGTATACTTACGTCACGCGTAGCCTTATCCTCATTGTTCAAAACTTGCTAACAGTGGTTCGTCAAGTCCGGTCTCGTGAAAGACTTCACCAGGATGCTTTATTGGGTCCAGACATTCCTGTTCTCACTTGCTAGCTTTTTTCTCAGTGATCTCTTCCATAGATTCAGAGATCCGTTTGGCCAGTATTTGCAGCCAATCATTCGTCATGGACCGAGAAGTTGACTACACCACGGTTTTCGATACAGAGAGAAGGTGTTGGAAAGACTCGTGGCGGATCAATATGTTCTGGATTCCGACGTAGCCACACGTAAAAAAGCGACGCATTGGTCAAAACTTGGCCCGTAAAGGTGCCACGCCGCGCATTGGTGCGAATACACAGTGGGTTTGTCCTCGTACGAGAAAACTTTGCGAATGGTTGCTTGCACGTTGCGGACGTTTTTCAATGACTTTTAAAGTCATTGGTATACTTACGTCACGCGTAGCCTTATCCTCATTGTTCAAAACTTGCTAACAGTGGTTCGTCAAGTCCGGTCTCGTGAAAGACTTCACCAGGATGCTTTATTGGGTCCAGACATTCCTGTTCTCACTTGCTAGCTTTTTCTCAGTGATCTCTTCCATAGATTCAGAGATCCGTTTGGCCAGTATTTGCAGCCAATCATTCGTCATGGACCGAGAAGTTGACTACACCACGGTTTTCGATACAGAGAGAAGGTGTTGGAAAGACTCGTGGCGGATCAATATGTTCTGGATTCCGACGTAGCCACACGTAAAAAAGCGACGCATTGGTCAAAACTTGGCCCGTAAAGGTGCCACACCGCGCATTGGTGCGAATACACAGTGGGTTTGTCCTCGTACGAAAAAACTTTGCGAATGGTTGCTTGCACGTTACGGACGTTTTTCAATGACTTTTAAAGTCATTGGTATACTTACGTCACGCGTAGCCTTATCCTCATTGTTCAAAACTTGCTAACAGTGGTTCGTCAAGTCCGGTCTCGTGAAAGACTTCACCAGGATGCTTTATTGGGTCCAGACATTCCTGTTCTCACTTGCTAGCTTTTTTCTCAGTGATCTCTTCCATAGATTCAGAGATCCGTTTGGCCAGTATTTGCAGCCAATCATTCGTCATGGACCGAGAAGTTGACTACACCACGGTTTTCGATACAGAGAGAAGGTGTTGGAAAGACTCGTGGCGGATCAATATGTTCTGGATTCCGACGTAGCCACACGTAAAAAAGCGACGCATTGGTCAAAACTTGGCTCCGTAAAGGTGCCACGCCGCGCATTGGTGCGAATACACAGTGGGTTTGTCCTCGTACGAGAAAACTTTGCGAATGGTTGCTTGCACGTTGCGGACGTTTTTCAATGACTTTTAAAGTCATTGGTATACTTACGTCACGCGTAGCCTTATCCTCATTGTTCAAAACTTGCTAACAGTGGTTCGTCAAGTCCGGTCTCGTGAAAAACTTCACCAGGATGCTTTATTGGGTCCAGACATTCCTGTTCTCACTTGCTAGCTTTTTCTCAGTGATCTCTTCCATAGATTCAAAGATCCGTTTGGCCAGTATTTGCAGCCAATCATTCGTCATGGACCGAGAAGTTGACTACACCACGATTTTCTTTACAGAGAGAAGGTGTTGGAAAGACTCGTGGCGGATCAATATGTTCTGGATTCCGACGTAGCCACACGTAAAAAAAGTGACGCATTGGTCAGAACTTGGTCCGTAAAGGTGCCACGCCGCGCATTGGTGCGAAGAATTTGTCTCGAAATCTTGTGTTTTTTACCTTCGACACAGATACCCATTCTTCGATGGTACACACCTAAAGAGCGATACAGACTCTTGTAATTCCACTTCTACGCTCCGACTAGAAGTCTCACTTAAAATTCGACGGGGTCTCACTCCATAAGTTCATGAAGTTTGAGGTTTCCCAATGATACAGATAATCATCCAGGTGAATATGTACTCTTCTTTTACGGCCAAGGCAGCCACTTTTAACGGCATGTACTTTGTCGTCGTTTTGGCACAATAATACGAAAAAATTGTAGTCTAGTGTTGATCTGACCGTTTACAATCCGCTAGAACGTATTTCATTTTTAAGTTAATCCGATATGTCATGCGCTACTGCACCTGAGATTTACAAAAATCAGGATTGTTTTTTGCGCATGAATGTTTGAGGAGGTTTCTACCAACTATGAACATTTTTGCTCTTACTTGTACCAATTATTGCGGACGCGCATTTGACACACTTCAGCACACTCTTTCATACTAGCAAATGCGCGAGTCTTGCTGTGGCTGTGACAGCTAGCTGAGGTTTGCATTCTCTACAATGGCTACAATTGCAGATAAGCAAGCGTTTCTATTCATAAGCTTGAATATTTGAAGGCAATAGCTGAGGTGAGTAGGGTTAAAAGCTAACCAAACTGGTTCTACTAGGTTTACCTTATGCTGTTCATCCGAGTTCTTGCAGCCCTTAAATTGATTTATAGAAACCAATACTCGAGTCTTAATGTCATCCACGGTAACGGTTCCATTTATAACAGCCGTGCAATGAGCGATGTCACATCAACGATTTCGTTTTCGATATCGAATCTTACAGATCCGCCATGAATCGACTAGTGGTGCAAGATCATCGTTGGATCGGATTAAGACTGCGCCGGCAGCGTCTCTCAGATTTACACTACTTTTATGGGTTGCTGAGTCTGTATGTTTCTCGAAAAAGAAAAGCTCTTGGATCATCCGCTGCAAAACAATGCTACAAACATCTTGTAAGGATACATAATAGCACATTGATATCAAACCTCAATGACACATGATGCTGCGAGGTAGACCAAAGGTTGGCATTTGGAATACCTGCTCTTTTCAATACAAAAACTCACGCGAAAAACTTTGAGTTTTGTCTGACTAGCAATTCATGACAACCATTTCTGCGTGGTCCACTTCAATCTGACGTGGCGGTTTTGTGTCAATAGTAACAGAAGGGGTGTCTGTTGTACCTTGGTGTGCCATGGCAGGCGACAAGAGCTGCCGCCACGTCGGCCAAGCCGTACGTCTAATGGACTTTCGTCGTGAATTAAGAAAACGTGTACAACTTGTTTGTGAGGTACGTCATGTCTTTTTGGCGTTTTTAATACCTTTGTAGTATCATTATGCATATAAACTCATGTATACATTTGACGTCTTGTATTGTGGGTAGCACTGTACAATTGCTCCAGTGACGATCAATACATTCGATATTACTACACAAAGTTGGGAAAAGTATGCAACAAATACGGATTTAATTGTATGTGTAAGCTGCGCTTTTGTCGGCTGCTTTAGTCATGGACATTTTGGTCTCCATTTGCAGTCGCATTCGAAACACTTTGTGGGATTAAAACTAGCATCCAAGACATTTTGGTGTGAACCTTGTAGTATCGATATTCCTACATGTATACGACCTAAGGTTGAAATAGCACGGCAAGCTTTTTGTGATGCAGTGGATGAAATTGCAGCCAAGAAACGACGACAGCTTCGGAGTCAACGACCAAGTATAAAGGTTACTTCGACTTCTACGTCACCAATTACGACACCGAATGGATCAGCCAAAAAAAAACTTGATATGGATACACACACAGACACACCGTTGGTTCATTTGCTTGATATGGATACACACACAGACACACCGTTGCGACAACAAAGTGGACACAGCAATGGTGAACATACTAATGGAACAGCATTGCTGAACATGCCACTTCGTACAAGAGCAGGCGAAGGCAAATTACGACGACGGATGCTCAAGACGGCAATTCACAAGAAGGAACCTGTGCTGGACATTAATATTCCGACGAGCAGCTCAGATCATGCAGATGGAGGCGAACTACCGACCACGGTGCTAGGCTTTACAAATATAGGCAACACGTGTTATTTCAATGCATCTATACAGGCATTACTGACAGCGACGCACTATTTTCCCGAACATACGCACATCGAGGAGGTGTTGGAGACAACAAACACACCGATCACCACTACCTTCACGTACGTCGACCTGGAGTACTCTAGATATGAGCTAGTTTAATGAAATTTTGCTGCTACATTGATATAGGAAGCTACATGAGACAGTGAGGAAGCGCGCTCGGAAAGTACTTGCTGAAGAGTCCTCTTCAGACAGACGTCTTAAAGGCAAGTGTGGTCGTTCGCGCTCCAGCTCGTCTTCAGTACTGACTGTGGCACCACTGCTCAAGGAGATTCGCAAGAAGTTTGCGCAGTTTCGTGGGCATTATCAGCAAGATGCACACGAACTATTTATTAGTTTTCTTTGGGCTATTGACGAGGAGATGGACCCTCCGTTGCCTTTGCTTGATGAATCTGGTGAGGTTTCTGCAAAGCCTACTTCTGCCAATACTGTTACAAACAGTGGTTGTAGTACCGCAAACTCATCGGAACGTCCGGAAGATGATGGAGATGATTTATCTCGTCGAAAAGGAACATGGCCTGAAGAAGATGCGACTGATGGTGAGCAGATAGAAGACGGTGATCAGGAATTGGAGGAAGACGGTTGCGAGAGCGAGGCTGAGAACTCTGAACAAGAGGATTTGAAGCAATTTTTTGTAAAAACAGAGACCGGTGAGACGATCTCGATGCAGGTGCCGAAAAGTGCGGCGTTGAAAGAGGTTCAGCACTTGTTGGCCAAACGGCTTAACCTCAACGAAGAAGATATGATACTGGATGCGTCAAAGGTAGAATTGCGCGCGACGCTTTCGTCGCGGCCGTCAGCTGTGCTTCACGCGAGAGCTGAGAAGAGGAAAATGTACTCGAGGCTAAACTTTACGCGCAATTTATTCGGTGGCGCACTTACGACGGCCGTGGAATGCAAAGCTTGTGGCAAGCGAACGGAAATCGTCGAGAATGCTTTCCACCTAAGCGTGTCCGTTCCAGATAGGCACCAGCATGAATTAACGATTACGGATTGCCTGAACAACTTTGTCGCTGAGACTCAATTGCTGGTGGAGGACAAGAATGGCTACGACTGCGAGAAGTGCTCGCGTCAGCTAAAGGTACGCAGTGCGACCGGCCTATTTATTCGCAAGAAACGCCTGGGATCGAACGCTCAACCGGAGATGGAGGTAGTGCTGCGAGATGCGTCCATGCATTTATTTGTTTCGGCAATACCTCGTGTTCTTGTAGTGCATGTCAAGCGTCTGGCACGTTCTCGAAAAATCACGCAGCACATTGCTTTTCACGAAAAGCTGGACATGACTCCATACGTAAGCGATGTACTTCGCCAAGGTGGCGGTGACGCAAGGAAGTATTCGCTTTGTTACGAGCTTATCGCAGTTGTTGTGCATATGGGCAACAGGCGATCCGGTCACTACGTTGCGTACGTTAGCCGGTCACGCCGGCGTGAGGCCTTGCTGGCAGCCCGTGCGCGCAGCCGCTTCACTTCAGAAGAAGGTAGAGCTGCCGCCTCTATGGTTACAACACCACGAATCAAGGAGGGTTCACCACGGACGTGGTACTATGTCTCGGACACCGTCGTCAAGCGTGTGTCTCTCGAGCAAGTATTGCAATGCGAAGCGTATATGCTGTTCTATCAGCGTCGACCAAAAGCCTTTGTTACCAGAGCGGCACCGGCGACTTCTCCAAAAGCAGAGACGGAAAGATCGTCGACAGAACCCCATTGTAAAGCTAGCGTGTGATCAGATCCAGACCTTGTTTGTTCAATCATTAGGAAGGTATGAGGCCAATCAATAGACTGCAGTGATACTCGGTGTTCTGTTACAGCAATCGAAGACGAGCTCGAAGATTTGGTTGGACAAACGAATGGGGTGAGGTATACGTGCTTATGATGATGTTTAGTCTAACTCATGCTAGATGGATCTTTGTTGATCTGCCTTAAGCTTTGTTTCAGTGTTTTATTAGCAACAGTACCAAGGTCAGCTAAGCGGTGTAAGGTGCTGGACAATTTACGACGGACGCAGAGAAGACGTGCGTGTTTGTCAACGCATGATGTTTTCTGCCTACGTGATGAGAGCCCTCTCGCAGAATGTGACGCTTATTTCTGTTCCGCTTGGCAAGTATGGTCGTAAGCGTTTGAAAGCGATGCACCTTTGCAAGCATCAGATTCACTGATTGAATGGCTAAGCTTACCTCAGTACCAGAGATGCAACAAAGAACAAGAGGTACTAAGCCGCAGAGCAAATGGAATCAATGTTGCGCTCACAAGGTATCCCTCTCTTCTACTGGACTGCGATGAAGGCAGATACGTTACGGTCATGCATCTTTGTTCATGAGCCTACTTTAGTACAACTTGAAGCCTGCGTAGGCGCTTTCAAGCAGCTATCGGAAGGAAATCGCAATGCAAGTTATTGAGGAAGTATCGATGCTTCCGCCTCTGGGCCGGCAAGTACGTATTTGAAGCTCGTTCACGCGCGTCAGCCGATGGACAATGGTCCGTCAACGAATATTTCTCGCAGCCTCATACAAGTAGGACTCATCATTTCCATGCGTCAACAGCAGGAAAAGCAGAATATCCGAAACGGTAAATGCTTTAGTTACTTTTGCATTAGATAGAAGTGCTTGATGCATGTACATCCTGTGTGGGTGGCATCTTGACGAAGTTTCGACAAAGACTTGCAACCATCTGCCTCAAGAATGACAGCAATGCAGTTAATATTCTGTGTTACTTGTTCGATTCTACGTCGCATTGAGCCTTTCGCGTTCAGCAACAGCAATAAGTTTTCTGATGATGCGTGTTAATGTTCCTCAACCTCCCAAAAATCGAAATGGATGACATTCCTTTCTCGCCCAGCAGTCATGAGAGAATTGGTTGAGGTTTGCACGAAAGCCATAAAGAGCAGCGAGCTTCACAACAGTATTTGCATCGTAGTTCTCTAACCTATGTGGCTGCTCGCCTGCCACTGACGACTCAAGACTTGCGAGCTTTACGCATTGCCCATGATCTGCTGGAACAGACGAAGTGTTCCTAAGCTGCGTGTTACTCAGAGTCACCGTCGTGGAATGTGCCCGATAGAATTTTTTCTTCTTTGCCTAGATCTTGGCTGAAGCAATCGAAACAACCGAAAATAGAAGATATCAACACCGCGTGCTTCATCTCACTTATCATATCAATACAACAACTCAACCTACCTGGACAACATTGGAATGGTCACATTTCTGTCTAGCTGGCTCTTCAACTGCGCCTTCTCTCTGTCAACGTTTGGTGTGAAAGCGCGATCAGGTCTGGTAAAGATGGACTTCGTTCATCATAAAAGAAAACAGCATGAATATTCCAATTAACGTCAAAACCTCATCAAACAAAATATCTCAAACAAAATGCATACCTTCGCGCCAGGATTGACAACAGGTGCTTGCACAAACGGGTTCTCTGTGGCATTATCACCAGTAAAACCCTGAAAAGCGTTCCACGTCGGCTGATGCACAATGAATGCAGGTTTTTCTGTGAAAAATGTTATCACATTATACACTCATCAACACATACTGCCACTTCAACACAAAAAATAAGCTTCTAGCAGCACCACGACGTACTGGCCGTCACAGTCTGCAAACCATGCAGTGACTGTCGCACTTGGGCCTTTTCACTGATCAACTCTAGTCTCTGGCGTTTGATATCTTGTTCTCTTTCCACGACCAATCGACTATCTGAGCTGTAAGTATGTCGATTAGGCAATGGAGGCAAAAAACTTGGCACATGTGGTGGCAGTCCTTCTCGTCGTCCAATTTTTGTCTGTTCAATTGTATTGCCTGCAATATCTCGTTTTCGAGCTGGAAAAGCTGGTACATCTCTTGGAAATGGTAATTTTGCCGTTCCAAGAGTCTTGACAAGGTCTTTGATCTCAATCTGATTTGGTTCCAAATCTTGTAACACTTGTATCACATCAGTCGCTTTTGGTTGAGACCTTCCTGCTAATTCAGCAATATCCTTAGCAGCTCCTCCAATTCGATGAATATCTGATACATGTATACCCCACAAAAATGGGTCAATTGTTTAGTTTTAGTGGTTATTTGACGCCTTATTCTCAATATTGACAATAGAATTGCAATCGTGACAATACTATTGCAATAATAGCTTACATTTTGCCATAATTTCCGTCAATGCATCCACGGCTGACTTCTGAATCGTATCAAATCCCACACCTCTAGCTACATGTGCTACACTCATGGCAGACAAGTTGCGTGCAAATACATCACCACTAGAGAGACCTGCCGCACCTCCAAGAGCGTCAAGGCCGCCGTCGATTGTTTTCTTGCTCATACTAACGCTTGTACCACCAGAAACTACATGAGACACTGGACGTGCTTCTTTCTTTCGAGATGAAGCTTGCGTAGAGCTCGTACGATGTGTTGGAGATGCCAACGTTGGCTTCGTGTCTGGCTGTGGCCATTATTCTTGCTGATGTATTAAATGACAAGAGGGTTTGAATACCGGTATGCTGAGATCGGTATATGCTCGATTCGAGTTATCCTACAAAATTGTGTAATTAGAATGGTAAAGTGAATGTATAAAAATAATATTTTTGAAGAAGTTACGGCTGGGGACGTTTTCTGAAATAATTTATGACAGGATTACAATAATGGAATGCATTTTAAATTATGCAATTGAAGATTACATTAAGCAATTATTTAGTGGTGGCAATAATACTAGATGTAAAATTCTTCAGTCATTGCATACAAAATTAATGATAATGTCCAGTAAAATGTAATTTTTTAAAATTTGTCAAATACCTTACTGAATTTTCCACTAAATTTCTAAAAATAAATCTGATTAAAATTAGAAAAATATCCGGTAAAAATGAATAAAACCTCGAATAAGGCTAAGTTCAGTAAGTCCACTACAAACCTTTATATTAATGTAAAACCTGAGGCTGAGAAACGTCAGACAGTTCGAGATTTTACAATTCTTAGTGAGTGATAGAGACTCTTAGAGAAGAAGAAGAAGAGAATTGAGAGTTGAGAATATGTTGCGCTTGGTACAAGTGAACACGACATTACATAAGGCCCATTCTCCATTCCTTACTCGTAGTTATGCACTTCATCATTCCAAGCCTTTAAATAGTATTGAAACATCTACACTTACGTCGAAATATACAGTAGTCGATCATGAATATGATGCTGTCGTAGTTGGTGCTGGTGGTGCTGGTTTACGTGCAGCTATGGGTTGTGCTGAAGCTGGTTTAAAGACAGCATGTATCTCCAAGCTATTTCCTACACGTTCACATACTGTCGCAGCACAAGGTGGTATTAATGCAGCATTGGGTAATATGTCGGTGGATGATTGGCGATGGCATATGTATGATACTGTAAAAGGTAGTGATTGGTTGGGTGATCAAGATGCAATTCATTATATGTGTCGAGAGGTGGGTGAGTTTGTGGATGGATACTTTTACAAACATTCTGATACTACTGTATCAGAATGATTGTGTATATTTATATTATATCCAAACAAACAAAAGAGTGACGGGTATCTTTCTATATCTATGTATGATACACTATTTTGTGTTTTTTCTAGGCACCAGAAGCTGTACGTGAGCTTGAGGATTTTGGTCTGCCATTTTCTCGTACAGAAGAAGGTAAAATCTACCAACGACCTTTTGGTGGACAAAGTTTAGAATTTGGGAAAGGTGGACAAGCACGTCGTACTGCATGTGCTGCTGATCGGACGGGTCATGCGATGTTACATACACTCTATGGACGTTCCTTGGCTTTTGATACATCGTATTTCATTGAATACTTTGCTCTTGATCTGATTATGAATGACGCTGGCGAGTGTGTAGGTGTTATGGCTATTAATATGGAAGATGGTACATTCCATCGTTTCCATACAAACAATACAGTACTAGCGACGGGTGGATACGGACGCGCCTATTTTTCTTGTACGTCAGCACACACGTGTACAGGTGACGGTACGGGTATGGCACTGCGTGCTGGCATTCCGCTACAGGATCCTGAGTTTGTGCAATTCCATCCGACGGGTATTTATGGTGCTGGCTGTTTGATCACGGAAGGATCGCGTGGTGAGGGAGGCATCTTGCGTAACTCGGAGGGCGAGCGCTTTATGGAGCGTTACGCCCCCCACTGCCAAGGATTTGGCTTCACGCGATGTTGTATCGCGTGCCATGACCATGGAGATCCGTGAAGGTCGTGGTGTAGGCAAGAATAAGGACCACATTTTTCTACACTTAGATCACTTGCCACCTGAGCTGCTGCACGAACGTCTGCCGGGTATCTCGGAGACTGCTGCTATTTTTGCTGGCGTGGACGTGACCAAGGAGCCGATTCCGGTGCTTCCTACTGTGCATTACAATATGGGTGGTATTGCTACAAATTACATGGGCGAGGTAGTTATGCCGGACGTTGACGGCTTACCGGAGCCCGGCAAGGTTTACCCAGACAAGGTTGTCCCGGGTTTGTTTGCTGCTGGTGAGGCTGCGTGCGCATCGGTGCACGGCGCCAACCGGCTGGGTGCTAACTCGCTGTTAGATCTGGTAGTATTTGGTCGTGCCTGCGCTAAGCGCATTGCGGAGTTGACCAAGCCTGGCGAGAAAAAGCGCCCAATGCCCAAGGATGGCGGACTGAAGGCCATTGAGGATGTTGATACGCTTCGTTACGCCAACGGTAGCATTTCCACGGCTGAGCTACGTCTGGAAATGCAGAAGACGATGCAGGCGGACGCTGCCGTCTACCGCACGAAGGATTCGTTGGCCGCTGGCAAGGAAAAGATTGACGAAGTGGTGCCCAAGTTTAATGATATCAAGGTGACGGACCGCTCGCTCATTTGGAACACAGATCTGATGGAGACGTTGGAGCTGCGCAACCTGCTAGCGTGTGCATCCTGCACTATGCACGCTGCTGAGGCCCGTAAGGAATCCCGTGGTGCGCACGCTCACGAGGAATTTACCAAGCGTGACGATGCCAACTGGATGAAGCACACGGTCGCTTACCACAATGAAGAGGGCAAGACGCACATTGCTTACCGTGCGGTACAGGATCAGACGCTTGACGAAAACGAGTGCAAGCATGTTCCGCCCTTCGCCCGTGTCTATTAAGGCGTCGTCTGGTATGGAGTACGGGATGGACGTATCCACGATACAGACGCAAAGTTTGCGCAGAAGTTGCATGAAGTGGTAACAAAACAAGAAATAAACTCACACTTATCTCGAGCTTTGCAGTAAGTGGTGGACAAAGTAGCAGAGACAGTGGGCAAGGTAGGAGCGTTTTATTTACTGCAGCTAGCGTGTAGCTTTGCTAGCGCTGTGGCGGTGAATCAAGCCAAGTTACACCACAAACAGCAACGTCGTTCAGCTGCGTGCTTCACAGAAGCCCTCCTCACATTTCTACATACCTGGTAATTGTAGTATCACTAGTCTCTGTTGCTACTGATAAACGCAACACCTCTACGTTTATCGATATCACTCTCTCCATCTCAACTTGCCTGCTACAGCTGCTCGTAATTGTGAGATGCCTTGCTGTTTGTCGTGCGTCAAACATATTGTTCAATAAGCTGCTGCTTGCGCCTACCTTTGAGCTCAGATCGAGAACAACTTCTTACCAAACAAGTCTCATCATTACATGTACGATCAGCGCAAATGAAGTCACGTCACTAACAATCGAACAAGCATCAGATGTTTCGTGGAGCTTTCATTCGAGAGCTTAATCAAGTGGTCAACGAAAATTATACTAGTCGAGGCATGCTTTGCGCCTACCATTCGAAAACTGATCGAGACGTTATTATTTTCACTGTCTCCAGGAGGTTTCAAGCAGACCAGTCACATTCGACATTGTCCAAGCCCGTGACATTTATAGGTGGTGCACCGATCTTTGCTACCCGGACATGGACCACCCCAGCGCTTGACGCATTGCCGAACTCCTTACAGTTGCGTAACGTCAACCCACTGCGGTCTAGAAGTTTCAGCTGACCTTAGAGGTTTGAGTGGTGGTTTGAGAAGTTGAGCGCAATACCTTCCACGAAACCAGCTGTGCAAGCTCCTTGACAATCCAAGCCACGGTATCCATCGGACCAGATCACTTCAATGTCTAGAGGTCGACGACATTCGAGTGAGTATTGTCGGTGTTTAAGATGGTCTTCAGCGCGCACGTCTTGTTTATCTATGACCCGTACTCTACCGCGTAGCCCTTGAGAGCCATTGCATTGGATGCTGTCGTTTGCATTTGATATACCTCAACGACGTTCGTTAGGCCGGTGACAAAGTCTTTGATCGTCTTGATTGCATTACTGTCCTTTCATCAACTGGCGTCACAGCCAGGATGTAACCCAAGGGCACAAGGCGATGAGGTCTACCAGTTGTGTCTCGCTTATCGTTGATATTACACATCAAGCATTAACGAAGATTTTTCAAGTGGATCAAGCGACGTATGTGGCCAGAAGGCAGTGAATAGAGTATCAGGCTGCGACCCAGTCAAAGAAAGATGCATGAATCAGGAGCAAAAGTAGCAAGGGCAGTCAGTAGAGAAGCATATTTGTATGATATCGACAGAATCTGCTCGACTTTTCATAATCTATCCAATGAAGACCATGATGATATCGCTTGTAATGTGGCACCTCTGAAGTTTCTTAGCCAAAGGCCTTGAACTACGTTTGGTACGTGTCGAGATTGGTATGATTCTAAGTACTGTAGTAACTAATATTCCGTCAATGCTATACTGTATGCGAATCAACTTCTCGTCGTGTCGCAATCCATCCTCTCTTCTCTATCCTCACGTACATGAAAATTTTCCCTGATGAGTTCACGACCACATCCTTATGCTAGCTCCTTGAGAAGCATCTCTTTCTTTTCCTTTTGTATATGTGGTAGCTTTTACAACCACATACATCCAGACTCTAAGCTTTCTTTAACCAAGTGGACGGACTTTCGGGTATCATGAAATGTGCGACAAAACCAATCACGAAACTGAAAATAAGAAGCGTTTTCTTTTCTCTGGCGTGAGATCGGTACTTCCTGCACAAGGTCTTGCAAAGAAGAAGAGCTAGGGAAATAAACCGGTAAGTGACAAAGTATAGTACAGACCTCATATGCTTCAGTTCAATCTGGATTGATTTAGTATTACAGAGTCACAAATAATGACTTCAATCGATGCATGCACAACTTTGAATCTCATTTATACAGACGATTTAGTTACACCACGCAATGATCATTTTTTGAATGAAAGAAGGCTCGAGGTATGCATGTGTCTCTGTAGATATGTGAATGATCGACTGTATATAGAGCTGGATCTCCTTCACATATATGCATAACAAACGACGACCGTGTAGAGTCGAGGCGATGGGATCGAAGACTGTCTACGTTATAGATAAAGACTGAACATTTTGGCACTTTTACTGAACCCACCCTATGACTACAGTGCATTGGAGCTGATCGTTTCCTGCTCCAGCGAGACAGACTTGAAAAAGACATCGACGGCAAAGATGTTTCGCAATCTTGGTGTCTGCATGGCTGTGCTTATGGCGATACTCTCTAACGATGTGCTGGTCTTCACATTGTCCACCAATGAATATCAGAATAACTCATATGCTACAATAACGTCGATCAAGCTACAAACGGTCAGCACGGAGGTCCTTCCTGCACCAAGTTCGCTACTTTTTTCGAACGCTAAGCCCACAGTTGCGCCCATGCTTCCAACCACGAGTACCAACCATGCTGCTACATCCGTTGTGACGAACCCGATGAAGGAGACCTCGCATGTGTCCGACTGTATCCCGAACTTCCCCAATGAGAAGAAGGGCGACCCCAAAACCACGACAGGCAATCCTGCGCTCTTCACTCCTTCATCCGTGACCGCTGATAGCTCTAAGCCCCCTGAGACGACCCCGATCACCCCAGAAAGCGCTGATGGCTCGAAGCCCCATATGACAACCCCGATCACCCCAGAAAGCGCTGATGGCTCGAAGCCCTATATGACAACCCCGATCACCCCAGAAGGCGTGGCGAGCACTGCTTCACAAACGAATGACTTGTCAATGTACACCTACAGCAATGAGATCGCTAATCAAGCCAACACCCAGTCGAGTATATCACATACTGGCACCAAAAACTACACGCTCAGCATCTTCATTGTGGCTACGATCGCCGCTGTTGCTGCGGTCGGCATTGCTGCGTCGCACATAAAGAAACCTCGCAGCGTCGATGATGCTCTCGTTACGCCCGATGACAACGAGATGATTCACATTGAGATCAAGCGCACACCTGCAGGCGGCAGCACAATCCTTTAAACAACGGTAATGGTTTTTGGTGTCTGAAGTTTGGTCATCTATGGTAGCCTCAGTAAATAACGTTAGTTTCCTTTTCCATTGTTTTCTCGTCAATTCAAGCAACGCATTGTCTTCAACGGTGCATGGAATCAGAACAGCGAGACATAATCGACGTATTCAATCACTGGTTCATTTGAATGGGTGTTAGTAGTGGTTTGTTTCATTCCTCCCATTGCAACTATTTTCCTGGCTTTAGCACCAAAATTAGTTCAAGGCTATCCCACGACGCAAAGCAAGAATCCAACTATCTTAACAATCATAACTAGGATAACTCTACCGTTGTTCATCGTCGAAATAGTTGAGGTGGCATTCTTACGGCCATTTTCGTAACCATAATGCTTTGAGACAATTGCACTAGCACCTTTGCAGTAGTAAGTGTTGTACCCACGACGTCTTGTTGCGATTCAATAATGGGAAAAGCCACGGGTCAAGCCAGCCACAGACACAAAGAGCTGGCTACCATCTGGGCGCAAGTCACTGTAAGGTTGTTGTAGATTGGCTAAGATTGAAGTTTATGATTGTGGAAGCGTTCTGTGTAGTTCTCACTGTCCTTACTCGACCTTAGCACTCGCCATTTTACGGCTCGTTCAGCTTGAATCGCATAGCTAACTGTATTGTAAATCCCACGTGACGTGCGTTAGTCATATCACTTTCGATCATGCTTTGTTCCGTCTTTCATACAGCACCGACAACGTCGTTTCTGTTAGTCTTAGCTGGCATTAAATTTGTTCAAGCTGACACGTTGTGTTCGTTGCCACCACTGACCTACGCGAAAGCCAAGACCGCATATCCGGCATCAGCCTTTGCTATTGAAGCATTAGAGAAACACGGAATTGCGACCTGGTACTCGGATCGTATAGAGAACGGAAATTATGCCCAGACGGCGGCCGATTTAGTGGCGTCCTGTCCCGAAGAATCACGACTTAGTGTCGTAGTCTACGGATTGCCCAACAAAGACTGCGCTGCAAAGGAATCGGCGGTGGGTAGTACCGTACACTCCGCTTCCGATTACGTGGCATTCCTAAACACGCTCACATCAGCCATCGGCAACCGAAAGGTGCTGTATGTTCTCGAGCCGGATGCCATCGGACTGCTCGCAGACACCACCGGATGTGGCCAGGGGGGCCGGGTATCTGGCCAACTTACAGACTGCCGTCAACCTATTGTCTCAGAACGAGAACGCCGAAATCTATCTTGATGTGGGCTACTGGACCCTCCAATACCCCGGTACCTCCACTGCTGTGGCAGAGATTGTCAAACAGCTCGCTTATGCAGGATCCAAGGTGAAAGGGATTACGCTCAACACTTCCAACTATCAATCCACCAGCACTTTGGCTACACTCTGCAGCAATTTCCAAACTGCTTTTGGTTCTACTGATCTGCACTGCATCTTCGACACGTCCCGCAGCTATCATGGTGGATCGGCCTCGAACGAGTGGTGCAATATTAAGTGCGCAGGCATTGGTGCTTTGCCAACTAGTGACACGGGTATCAGCAACGTTGACTACTTTCTTTGGATTAAGCCGCCAGGAGACAGTGACGGCACGTGTGCCGGGCATGCGTCGGACTCGATGCAGGGTCCTGGAGCAGGTATTTTCTTCGACAAAATGTTCCAGTCTCTTTGGAACCAAGGCATTATGGTTGCCGAAAAGGGATATCCCGCCATTAACACGATAAGTAACCTTACGGCTCCGGCATCAAGCCAGCAGAAAAATCACAACAATCAGATGGGTCTTGAGACTGACATGAACTTCACAACTCTACCATCACTCAATGCGGTCTCACCAAAAATCACCTCTTCTACCATTACTCTGAAACCAAGCGCCGGTCAACTTAACGACCACTTAACCAGAAGTCAATCACAGCGCCAGAAGCCTACCGAATCTTCGCCTTCTTCGTCAGTCCCTGTGCCAAAGGTGATCAACAGCCAACAGATCTCAACCGAGAGCTCAGATAGCAAAACGATGGGGACTGGCGCGATAGTTCTGATTGCACTCGTTGCTGCAGCGGTGGTGACTTTCGCTGTCCTCACGGGTATACGAAGTCGTCAGAAGAAGATGTTGAACGAAGTCAAGACCCCGGAGTTTTCAGCATTGGCTCCTTTGCCTACAACAATTGTAAATTTCCAACCCCAACCAACTGCACTTGCACGAGACTCCAACATCCTGTAGTACATGTAAAGCTTCGAGAGAGAATTAGATGTCATGTTGATGAGAACTACCGATACGTGTAAGTAGTGTTAGCATAGCACCAGGTGTGTGATAGATTAGACCATGTTAAGGTGATGCTAAAGATCGCAAGTAGTATGTACAGATGGGAGGCGTACTTAAGCAATAACGAAGCCGTAGACGCCACAGCCTCATCAAGTAGCTAGACAAAGAGAATGCCAATTTCTTCGACACACTACGTCTACATACCACTACGATCACTACGGCCCACTCAAGCTCCGTTTGTTTGTAAAGCGTTAGGATTTGGTACGAACCAAGTATAAACTTCAAAGTCGATAAGCATCATCATTACCTACTGACTGCATCCTTTGAGCGAGGCCTTTGCGGACAGCTGCTTTGGTGACATCAAAGACGCCGCTCGTCATCGTACCCGATGGTCGACAGGTCAAAGCTAAGTGCCTTAAGTGGGGCTATCAGATCCACGTCATAAAACGTTATAGCAGAATACAAGGGATGTCCCTTATTGTCACTCATGCAGCCTACTTTGCAGACTGAGCCAAGAAGCTCCGCAATAGTATGGTGTACGCAATGAAGAAGGGGCTAGATAAGGTCACGAGGCGTCTCGAGAATGGCTCAAGGTTTGAATCGATTTTTTAACACAATTTACGAGCTAGGCTTGTCTTCACGACTTGGCCTATGAAATAATACGATGTCCAGGCAAGTAATCTACTGGACACATCGATTACAGCGAGCGTAGATGCTGCTTGGCCTTGCAGCCGCCACGTGGTTGGCTAGCGCTGGGCTGCTGTGTGATGCTTTCACTTGAGTTAATTGAGGTCTTGATAGAAGAATTTGTAGCGGCCGGTGCTATTGTGACCAACGTTGTGCTGACAGGGGCCTTTGTCGAAATTGGATCAGCCGGAGCAACATTTGACGCGTTGTTATCTTGGTTCCAGCTCGAGCTGCCAGAATATGAGAATATGGTTGGCGTTGAAGTTGTTTGGACTGAGATATCTTGGTTTGAGCTGCTATCGCCCGAGCTAGGTGCAAGTGCTGTAGGTGATAAACTGGAGCTATCGTCAACTTTTAGCATACCTTGCTCGCTCACAAAATATCCTTGGTCCCATAGCAGCTTGAAACCTTCCAAGTACATGGATCCTGCCGGAGTACCACCGGTTGCACACTCTCCGTCGCTCTCGCCTGGCGGTTTGATCCACATAAAGTAGTCCAGGTTTGAGACACCAGTCTCTGACGAAGGCGGCTTACCGATACCGGCCGTAGCGACATTGCACCAGTCCGAGGTGGGCGCGCCTTTGTAGTTGCGGGATGTGTCAATGATACAGGTCATATCCGTGGACCCCATGGCCGTCTGGAAATTGGTGCAGTAAGTAGCGCACTCGTCAGTGGACCGATAATTGGACGTGTTAATAGTCACACCTTTAACTCGACCCGAGCCACCGATATCCTTCATGAAAGTGGCCACCTTACTTGCACTATCAGCGTTTGCCAGCGTCCAGTAGCCAGTGTCGACGTACAGTTGGGCGTTGGTGTTGGCGGACAAGGCTGCTACAGCAACCTTAAGGTTTTCAAGATATCCGGCTCCTGCGCCACAGCTTCCGTCTTGAGTTAGAAGACCCAATGCGTCTGGCTCTACTACATACAGTACTTTGCGGTCACCAACGGCATCCGTGAGCTCCTTCAAAAACGCTTGATAGGTGCTCGTGCTGGTCACACTTCCTCCCGAAGACAAACCAGCAGCACAATCTTTGTTGGGAATACCATATACTACAATACTCAGACGCGTGTCTTTTGAGCATTGACGTAGCAGACCAGCCATCATTTCCGATCGCTCTTGTGTTGTCTGACGATCCGTAAACCACGAGGCGATAGCATATTTTTCGAGCGTCTCAATGGCAATCGTCAGCTTGGGATGATCCAACTTGGCTTTCGTGTACGAATACGGCGTAATCGAACAGAGGTCCTCGGCGTCAATAAGACTGAACGAAGCCGACAAGGAGAGTGCTACGCATGACACCGCAGCAGTTAATAGGCGAATGCTGAGCATTGTGTTGCAGATTCACGTGATGCTTAGAAAGGTACTGTGTGCTGCTCTGCTAAATGTTGAATGATACAATGCTGACAAGCGTCCCGAACACTGTGATCTATGTCCGATCAAGATAACAAGCCGAAGATACTCATGGGAAGGTTTTACATCTATTATCCATTCGCTTTCGTGGCTCGCGACACACCAAATGACCGTTATGACCGTTTCCGAGGGAAAGTGTCAACTACCAATCTTTGTTATCTGAAAACTACTTGACTGCACATCCACTAACTATCTTTCGACGATCAATGACCATATCACTGAAGCTGAGACTTTTCCATTTCCTTGTCAGACGCTAAAACGATAAACGCTCGAAACTTGACGCATTGCTGAATATTTTGCTGTCAAGGTTTGGCTGATGCCATACAAAACCTCATCATCATCATGCGTGCGTTACGTTGCGACTTGACACTGAGCAGATAGTAGACTTGATGGCTTATACCAGATGGTCGCAAACTTTACTCCCTGTCCTCAACACCGTAATAGAAGTTTAGAGAAACAAATAGCCGTGATCATGACTTGCACTTCCTCACAGCCAATAGAGACGTCAGCATGCATTCACTTCAACCTGTAGGATATGCTTTTACTCATTTATGTGCCAGATACATTGAACGGTTATGTAAAGAATAGAAATTGAGTGAACTCGACAACTACAAGTCTTGACAATCAACACTTCCCTTGACGCAAAACATGAGCAGTATCATCAATTCATAAGCTGTATTGCAACACACACAGCACACACACACAGAAACATTCGTTCAAAATTGGCGCAGGCGCTTTACGGTCTTGCACGCAACGCTAGTTGCAAAATGTCCAAAACGATGATGTTGACGGTGTCGCTATGGCTAGTGGTGTCGCAGTACGTGTCGTCCGATTACAGCAGCATACATTGGAGTTGTTGTCGGTGTCGCAGCAGATAATGTCGTGGTGCTTTGAGATGCAATTGTGTCCAACGAAGTAGCGGCTGCTACGGCAGACATCGCTCGGAGCTGTTGTAATCCTGTACAGCCAGGGATGTATCATACTTCGTGCCAACTTGGCTGCTGACTTGTGTAGTTTGACTGCCCAATCCATTCTGCGTACCTAACTGACTGCTCGTCGGACTTGATCCGATGTTGTTGGAAATCGCTGCCGTACCTTGCGTGGTTATAGCGTCCTGGCTAGCACCAGAGTACACCGACAATGGCGTCGACGTTAAGTTGTGAGCCGAATCGATGTTTGCTGAGGCAACCGTGCCCGCAGTGGATACGATTGGCGTAGTTTGGTCCACGTAACTACCCGTAGCCTGTGTACCAGTTTCGGTGCTCGTCTCCGTCGCATCGCCCGTGACATTGGCAATGGTTTTCATGCCACCTTCACTTACAAAGTAACCTTTGTTCCAAAGCTTTGTAAAGCTTTCGGGAAAAAATGATCCTGCCTGAGGAGCGTCACTTGTGCATTGTCCATCGCTCTCTCCGGGCGGTTTGATCCACATAAAGTAGTCTAAATTTGAGAAGCCTGTCTCTGATGATGGTGGCTTACCAATACCAGCAGTGGGAACGTTGCACCAATCGTTAGTAGGACACCCATTGAAGTTTCGAGACGTATCGGCAATGCAGGTCATATCATTGTTTCCCATTGCCGTCTGAAAATTCGTGCAGTAAGTGGTACACTCGTCATTGGAACGGTAGTTCGACGTGTTGATGACCACGCCCTTAACTCGACCGCATTTTCCAAGCTCTTGCATGATCGGAGCAGTCTTGGCTGCATTCGTCGAATCAGCGAGCATCCAGTAGCCGATATCAACATACAGCTCCGCGTTGGCGTTCGCAGACAGCGTTTCTACTGCAAGCTTAAGGTTGTCAAGATACCCTGCTGACGAACCGCAGCCACCCTCCTTGGCTAAAAGACCAACCGCATCCGGCTCTACCACGTAGAGTACCTTGCGGTCGCCGACACCTTCTGTAAGCTCCTTTAAGAAAGCTTTATAGTCTTTAACGCTCTTCACGCTTCCTGCAGACGATAGCCCTGCGTCACAGTCCTTGTTGGGAATGCCGTACACGACAATGCTGAGGCGTGTATCCTCTGAACACTGCTTCAGCATACTGGAAAGCATGGTAGCTCGCTCGTCATTGCTCATGCGGTCCGTGAACCACGCAGCAATGGCATGTTGCTCGAGAGCGTCCAGTGCCTTTAAAAATTCTGGGTAATCGATTTTAGCTTGGGCGTACGAGTTCGGTGCAATGGAGCACAGGTCGTCGGCGAGTGTGACGTTCAAGGACATCAAAAGCGTCAGCGATGATGCAGCAACGGCCATCCAGCGTCTTGAGTGAGGGGCACCAAAGACCATTGCTATAGGTTGACACTTACAGGGCAAGATGAATTGCTGTTGTGGGAAATTGCAGAATGAGCAAATTCCTTGCTCGGTTCCAGAAGCGTAAGAAGCAACTAACTGCGCCCCAGTAGATGCATACAGTGTCTGTTAAACTTACTTCGGAGCTCACATTGATTAATCCTATACCATGCTCCGTACAACAACAAATGGACAAGACACTGACGAGCAAGCTCTATTGAGCAGATTATGACGCATAGAAATCATATGATGCACGAGAAGATAGCAGAACTCCCATGTATTTCAACACGGTTGTCAACTAGAGTCACCTGTTTCAAAGTCTGCTGATACATCAGGCAAGAACAAATTGCAAACTCGGTGTCGTCTTTACGCCTCAACTCTCTCACTATGAGATCTAAGCCGGTCTTGCCCTAAGTCAAGCAGCACTCACTAACAACTTCATCGACAAATGTACGATTACACTGTCGATCACATGACGTGAACGGTGCTTCATGGCCATGATTCGATGGTACATTGTCTGACAAAAGTTGCGCCAAAACATATGCGAGATTACGGTGCACGCATGAGGAAGCAGCTGAAAGAGCTAATGTGGCTAGAAAGAGCTTGTCTCGTTGTGTTGTATTGGGTGTACTGAAGCTCATGCTCCACTTGATACAATCGATCAGCTCCACCAGCTTCTGCAGACATTAGAAAAAAAGGTGAAAAGAGAGAAAGTATGTGCACACCACTCACTGCTCATGAATTGATCTTGTTGTTTGTTAAACAGATTTATTGTAACGTAATACTATGCGTGTGTTGTCGACTTTGGATTTCACGAGTGATTTCTGACCATCTTCAAGTTCGACTAACAATACATTTCTTAGCTACAACAACTTGTTACTGGCGCAATTTTACGCCTTCGCCACCTCGATGATGATCTTGCCTTTTGCACGTTGTGACATACAAATCTTCATGGCCTCCACCAAGTTCTCGAGCGGATGCACCGAGTCAATGATTGTCTTCACCTTGCCAGCCTCAATCAACTTCTTGAGCTCTAACAAATACTCTGTGCACGGTGCATTAAATATCTGATGCACGGTCGCACCGATGGACGACTCAATGGGTTTATCGATCATACCGATAGTCACAAAAATGCCCGTCTGTTTCTTGAGCACCTTCTGCGCCGCGTCATTCCATGACTGGGACTCGACGCCGCAGTCGTAGATGAGGTCGATAGAGTGTTCCAATACCACGTCATTCCACTTCTCCTTTGTATAGTCCACAACCTCGTCAGCACCGACAGACTTGACCAACTCCACATTGCGATGGCTACACGTCGTGATAACCTTTGCTCCAAGAGCTTTAGCAATCTGAATACCATACAGACCCGTACCGCTACTGCCACCGAGAATCAGTACACGTTGATCCTTTTGCACTTTACCATACGTCACAATTCCTTGCCAGCTTGTTTGACCTGCCAAAGGCACACCAGCTGCTTCATTAAACGTCATGTTGCTGGGCTTGAGTGCCACGAGTTTCGTGTTTACGTTGATGTACTCGGCAAAAGTGCCACTGGTATCAGGTGTTGTCATAGCGTACACTTCATCGCCTACTTTGTATTCCTTGACGTTACTACCGACCTCAACCACTTTTCCCGACAGGTCATGACCTACTCGGTAGGGGTTCTCAGGTGAAGCCATAGTTGATAGAATCATGGATGCAAAGAGTCCAATCTTGTAATCAATTGGGTTGATTGATGCACTCAAGATCTTAATCTTCACTTCATTAGGCTGCACTGGTTTTTGTTCTGCAGCCTCATTCAGTCGAATTTCATCGAGAAAGTTACCAAAGTGCTGGTATTCATAGGCTTTAAAAGTAGAAGGAATAGTAGTAACCATAATGAATTGGAATCGAGTGGAGAATGGAGATTTGCTAGTGAGTTTTTGGATTGAGAACTGTAGAGAGCTTTTTGAAGAATGAGTGAGAAAGTCTTGTGTTGGTTTAGTGCTTGATTACTGACGTCAATATCTTTTTAGTTTGTGTGGGTAATCATTCAATCATAGGAGCTTTGTAACGAGCGTTAGACTTGATAAGATTACGCAACATTCAGGGTATACAGACTACTATCATATCTCGTTCGTTATCCAAAGTCTACGTATACCGTCAAGCTCTTTGTCGTACTAATATTTGATGCTCTCATATTTGTGTGATACACATAACCTTATATGCTAAAAACGTATTGAGCCAATTTGTATAGAACCTAACTCATATGACGTGGAAACATCAAGTTTCGTGTAGATAAAAATCAGCCTTTTCCATACTTAAAAAGCGAGACTATATGGTCTCATGCGCAAAGCGTCAATTTTGTGAAGATGACGCAAACCGTCTTGTTTCTTTAATCTGCTTCACCTGAACCCACAACATACGGTTTGTGATTAGTGGAGTGCAAAAATTCAGCAAATGAGGCGCACGGAGGGATTGGGGGTCAGTGCACCCTTCCATATGAGAGAGTAGATGCGTGTTTCATCATCATTTGATTAGCTAAACCAGTTGCTCACATTTGGCAACCCCATCACTTCAATGATACAATACGCAAGCGAATGCACATTCGATTATCATTTGACTAGCTAAGCAAGCGCTGCTCGGTACCCTTTCTCACGCACGTCAATACACCAAGTTCTTTTCGGCTATCACCTCAGTGTTGTTTTGAAGTACATCTAGCCATTTTTAAAGGACTTTCAACGTTTCCTCATATTTTCCCACAAAGTGCTTTACAAACATGTAGAAGGAATCATAAATGAAACGAATCGGTGCTTATGCATCTGCGGCATTGTCTAGGTGCTTCCATAGTGGACGGAGGGTGAATGAAAGTGGACCATACGTGAGATCTTGTAATCTGTGGGGTTCACGGCTGCGCTAAGGATTTGTGACGCGCACCTCGTGGGCCTCGCGTTTTTGAGTGAGTTGGCTTGACCCTTCAATTGGGGCCTCAACATTGCAATGCTCATACTCATAGGTTTGAAGTGGTGGGCTTGGCAATTATAAAAAGCATTTGATAGTTGGGTATTGTGGATCAGCTTGCAACCCTTTTTTAGAATGCTAAGAAAGGTCTGTACTTGTATACTCGAGCAGCGCTTGCTTAGCTAGTCAAATGATAATCGAATGTGCATTCGCTTGCGTATTGTATCATTGAAGTGATGGGGTTGCCAAATGTGAGCAACTGGTTTAGCTAATCAAATGATGATGAAACACGCATCTACTCTCCATATGGAAGGGTGCACTGACCCCCAATCCCTCCGTGCGCCTCATTTGCTGAATTTTTGCACTCCACTAATCACAAACCGTATGTTGTGGGTTCAGGTGAAGCAGATTAAAGAAACAAGACGGTTTGCGTCATCTTCACAAAATTGACGCTTTGCGCATGAGACCATATAGTCTCGCTTTTTAAGTATGGAAAAGGCTGATTTTTATCTACACGAAACTTGATGTTTCCACGTCATATGAGTTAGGTTCTATACAAATTGGCTCAATACGTTTTTAGCATATAAGGTTATGTGTATCACACAAATATGAGAGCATCAAATATTAGTACGACAAAGAGCTTGACGGTATACGTAGACTTTGGATAACGAACGAGATATGATAGTAGTCTGTATACCCTGAATGTTGCGTAATCTTATCAAGTCTAACGCTCGTTACAAGCCCTATGATTGAATGATTACCCACACAAACTAAAAAGATATTGACGTCAGTAATCAAGCACTAAACCAACACAAGACTTTCTCACTCATTCTTCAAAAAGCTCTCTACAGTTCTCAATCCAAAAACTCACTAGCAAATCTCCATTCTCCACTCGATTCCAATTCATTATGGTTACTACTATTCCTTCTACTTTTAAAGCCTATGAATACCAGCACTTTGGTAACTTTCTCGATGAAATTCGACTGAATGAGGCTGCAGAACAAAAACCAGTGCAGCCTAATGAAGTGAAGATTAAGATCTTGAGTGCATCAATCAACCCAATTGATTACAAGATTGGACTCTTTGCATCCATGATTCTATCAACTATGGCTTCACCTGAGAACCCCTACCGAGTAGGTCATGACCTGTCGGGAAAAGTGGTTGAGGTCGGTAGTAACGTCAAGGAATACAAAGTAGGCGATGAAGTGTACGCTATGACAACACCTGATACCAGTGGCACTTTTGCCGAGTACATCAACGTAAACACGAAACTCGTGGCACTCAAGCCCAGCAACATGACGTTTAATGAAGCAGCTGGTGTGCCTTTGGCAGGTCAAACAAGCTGGCAAGGAATTGTGACGTATGGTAAAGTGCAAAAGGATCAACGTGTACTGATTCTCGGTGGCAGTAGCGGTACGGGTCTGTATGGTATTCAGATTGCTAAAGCTCTTGGAGCAAAGGTTATCACGACGTGTAGCCATCGCAATGTGGAGTTGGTCAAGTCTGTCGGTGCTGACGAGGTTGTGGACTATACAAAGGAGAAGTGGAATGACGTGGTATTGGAACACTCTATCGACCTCATCTACGACTGCGGCGTCGAGTCCCAGTCATGGAATGACGCGGCGCAGAAGGTGCTCAAGAAACAGACGGGCATTTTTGTGACTATCGGTATGATCGATAAACCCATTGAGTCGTCCATCGGTGCGACCGTGCATCAGATATTTAATGCACCGTGCACAGAGTATTTGTTAGAGCTCAAGAAGTTGATTGAGGCTGGCAAGGTGAAGACAATCATTGACTCGGTGCATCCGCTCGAGAACTTGGTGGAGGCCATGAAGATTTGTATGTCACAACGTGCAAAAGGCAAGATCATCATCGAGGTGGCGAAGGCGTAAAATTGCGCCAGTAACAAGTTGTTGTAGCTAAGAAATGTATTGTTAGTCGAACTTGAAGATGGTCAGAAATCACTCGTGAAATCCAAAGTCGACAACACACGCATAGTATTACGTTACAATAAATCTGTTTAACAAACAACAAGATCAATTCATGAGCAGTGAGTGGTGTGCACATACTTTCTCTCTTTTCACCTTTTTTTCTAATGTCTGCAGAAGCTGGTGGAGCTGATCGATTGTATCAAGTGGAGCATGAGCTTCAGTACACCCAATACAACACAACGAGACAAGCTCTTTCTAGCCACATTAGCTCTTTCAGCTGCTTCCTCATGCGTGCACCGTAATCTCGCATATGTTTTGGCGCAACTTTTGTCAGACAATGTACCATCGAATTCATGATCATGAAGCAGTCCCTGGATTTGATTAGCATAGTTTGTGCATTAATGCTTCACGTCTTGCAATTGGCACCCCCACGTCACCTCAGCGATCCAGTAGAATTCTGGAGCTCTGCGCATTTTACGCCAAGCACAGGAAGTCACAAACGGCATATGCAATACCGCTTCAAATGCTCTTATGACTATAAATATGCCAGAAACCTTCAACGCAACCAGCTATGTCGATTCCAACGGTATGAAGCAAATCAAAATTTACGATAGCATCAGCTAATCAGGATATGATTTTATCGTGCACATTATTATCGAAAAAGAGTCTGATCCTGGAAACCTGGCTTAATGGATAAACACTTTTTTGGCTCACGTGTATCGGTTTGGACAAGGTTTGCTGTCCTTGTTCATCTCGCGTCTGAGAGAGGTCTATGGAAAAGTAGCGGCCCTTTTTAATCGTAACCTTGTTTCGTAACGTGCCGTTACATGAATGTCTGCAAGCTAAAAAGTTGAAGTCGATGCCTTTTCTGTTTTATAGGTAAATCGAATATGATGGATAATTAAGGGTTGATTAATGATTTAGGTCCAGAAGTAAGCCTTGCCATGAAGGTACTAAAACGACTGTTTAGCAATATGGGTTTGATACATTTTAAAAGGAAGAAGTCGTCCATTCTGGTGTACTACCATTCCAACAACGACGTTTGCTCCATGTGTTCAAATTTCGCAACCACCTTACACTGGAAATTACGCCTTATTATTTGCAAGCATACTGTGCAGCTGTACCGTTAGCATGAAAAGAAGAGCTCGGCCATTTGTCGTAGACGCTTTGTGATACGTTCCAGACTCAATGCTATCCAACTGCATCATGTTACACGGTCGTAAACATCACTGACATTGCAATGAGTAGACTTTTCTTGCCGAAATTAGATCTTGCATAAGCCTGTCAACGAGTTACGCTGTTGTTTGGCAGACCGAAATACTGCGTGTAGCATATGGCGTCGTGAATACGAAATGTTGAAATGAACGTGAGTGGAGTTCTTTTGATCTTATCACGACAAGATTAAAGAGAGCTTCTTATTTGGGCGATCTCTCTTTCACTCAGCGAGTCGGATCAAAAAGATAGCGTGTATCTTTGGATGGATTTGTTTGTAAAAGCTTGGCAGTGTCAACATTGGATGAGGCTTGTTAACTACATTCATTCATCGTATCGTCATCGCTCGGGGCCCGCAAAACGATAGAGCAGAGCGTAAGCTGACACAATCAAATCTGCTATAGTAAAGCCTAAGGAACCTCACGCACGGCCACAAGAAAATGAGCATTCTGGTATCAATATATAGCGCTTGCAATTGAAGCGGCCCTTCACCAAGCGACGACGAGTCGCTATGGTGCTGCTGCATAGTACTAATATTGATCTAACAACCGTACAAGCTCAACACAAATGCAGATATGACGTCGCAATGATGTTTTTGTACCCAAAGCTCAACTTTAACCAAACAGCGTGATCATGCGCGCCAAGTATCTTGGGTGAACAATTAATCATTATTGCAAGGATTAGGGAAGACGTTTTGGCGCTTGAAGTAAGCAAAGAGTCGGTTTTCAGATGTGACATCCGTCATGTCTAATGGTATAATATTTTGTCCATGCAATTAATGCTGACCGTTTTATGTAAATTGGATTAATATTTATGCATCCGTTGGACGATGTGTTGATATTATAGTATAAGTGTGTTGTATACCCTCAAAAACCATCAAATAGGTAGCGCGTCATAGTTATATGTTGTTACAGTGACAGTATCATAAGTTCAATCAGTACAGGAAGCTTTACATCGTCAAATGTCACGCTGCGCGCAATAAGCTCTAGAATATTGAAGAGGTAACATTTTATCCAAGTCTGCAGTCTATAACAAGGATATTGTTGGTGAGCGTCTGAAGCTCGATCATCGCAATATCCAGTTAAACGGCGTATTCGTGTTTTACGATGAGTATCGTCATTGCATTGGTAGCAATTCAAGCAAAAGCTGCCGTGAAATAGCTCGTACTTATTGGTGCTGTCATGACAACTTGATTGAGATTTTGTTTTCTCTTTCCAGAGAAGGATTGTGAGACTTAGCCTTAAGACTTCAAGAAACGATGGTCAAGCCGATGGAATGGGAACAACGCGAACGCAGTAGCATAGTGCAATCAGCTAACAATCCACACTATCAAATGCACGAGACAACAACTCTCGAGCAGAAGCGTGCTTATGCAGACAAACTATTATCAATGTGATGGCGCATGTAAATGCTGCACACCATTGAGACCAGGTCATATTGAACTTGTGGGTCTTCTTATCCCATGCATGTCTTCGCGGCACAAGAAAACATGTGTTCCAGCTACAACACTTGGCGTCTACTTTTGTGTCCGCAAGTTTTACCGATATGCACGTCCACTGGCTATTCCTATGAGCTTATCTGACCGCCTTGGTCGCAAAATATCTGACTGACGCCCCCATACACAATACGCACGAAGGTGAGGTAAACGTCAAGCACACTTCTGTATTAGTTATAACGATAAATTTGCATATTTGTTGTACTGAACCTCCTTATGTTTATACCTGAACTTTTTGTAAACGATACTTTTTTCCTCTGCAGCTCATCATTCTCTTCCCAGTTACATGGAAAAGCAAAACAAGAATAGCACGATGGTTGGCGGTCACATATACCCCTAATATGTTACAACATGTGACGCTACTGCTGGATTTCACGGAGGTCTCAAATTCCTTGCTTGACCTAATGTCCACTTTTGAATCAATTGGTAATGGAAGCAGGGCCTGGGATCTTGGAAGGCATACGACGATATACCCCAGCTGCCTCAGCAATAACTGGTGACATGCAACCAGATTTAGTTGAACCAAATGTCTGTGTAAGGGGTGCGTAACGAAGAAGAAGTGAAGCATGTCAAAAACAAGCCGCGTAGACACTCCCACGCCTGTTTGGCCAGTAACCGGCGCAATTTGTAGCCATGTTCGACAACTATTGCCCGAAACAGCTCAACGCGCTTTCATAACGTCTGCAAGCTTTTATCAGTTTGGAAAAGCACCATCAAATTTTGCTTCGAAACGCCTACAACATCTCGGTCAGACATAGATATGTACAGCTCTAGTGATGTGCCAGCGTGATCTCGACGCGTGTGAATGCCGAGTGATAGGTATGAGCTTGCTCACCGAATGTTTGATTGTCTTTCTCATCAATTACAGCATCCATTGTCAGACGCTCTTGGAGAACGCTCTCCGTCGTGGACAAGCGGTACAGTCGTTGATGACAGCTGGGTGGAATTCAACATAGGAGCTCTTTATTCAACGCAAAAAAAAGTACCAACGAGCAGCGTGGTCGTGTCAAAGAAAGCGGTAGCATGAATAGCCGTCGTTTGACAGCAGATAAAGCGGCGTCTTTGACCTCAGAAGAATCGTATCCAACCGAACCTGCTGCGAACGCGCCGCATTGACACTCACTCCGTCCATCCTCATGCCCCCCCCCTTCTCTTCTTACTATCGCGTTCTTACTAACCACATAAACTTGCCGTCTGCTTGGCTACGTGAGTTTCACGTTGAGGTGGATCTTGTGTGAGAGAGAGCAGCTGGTCGGTGCTTGCACTTCCGCCCCCCCCTAACTGTGATGAGAAGAGAAGTACCACCTGCTTTTCCATCCAAAAGCTTAGTAAGAGAATTTTGTTTTTCGATCAAGAAAAAAACTGCCAGCCGTTGCAGAGCTTTTAGGAGCTTTGATTCCACATTCATGATATTGTATGTAGTTAATTCATAGAGAAAAACAATCTCAATACAAGAATAAACCATTTGGCTTGGAAAAAAGTGACCCCTGTTTCTTCTTTTGACTGATTTCATTATCCAATTTGCCACGTTTCAAGCATTTGGTACATATAAAATATACTACAGACCTTTTACATACATTCCTATACGTAGTGTGTGATGCCGAGTCAATTTGTAGACGTTATGACTGTGACGTCCCCGACGACATTTGCCTCAAACCAAAAGGATCTTCAAGAACCTCAAGTACTGCCTATACGTGAAGCACGTTCACAATCACTCTCAAAGCTGTCACGACGTGCGTCGACGGCTAGTGTGCTGACCGTAAAAAACAAACAGTGCGACATTTTGAGTGAAGAGGAGATTGAATTTCAGCAACAACAGCGTGTACGACATGCTCGTCGTGCACTTAGTTCTGGTACTGGTAGTTCTCTCAGTCTATTACAGGAAGAACTTGGATATCCACGACGTGCAAGAGTGGCTACAGATGGACACAGACGTCGACGTAGTTCCTTATTTGAATCGGCTTTAGAGAGCAGCAAATCAATGAGATCTCAAAGTAGTATCAATGAGAACAGTGACAGGGAAGAACAGAGCACTAGCACTAGCACTAGTAGTTCAAGTAGTGTGACAAGTATTACTAGCGATATGCTTCGGACACAGTCCGTGCCTGAACTAGAAGCAGATGACCATATTCATCCAGTGCAATGTCATGGACGCAGTTGGACGTGCTCATTACAAAGTGATGCAGTAGGTGACCATGGAGGAGATGCACAGGACGACGATGAAAACTTTATGAATTACCGCAGTGCGTCCGTCACGGGCTACAGTTGTGACACGGACGGAGTTGTGTACTATGAAGTGATTGTGCGTAGCATTGCGCACGGTCCGTTATCTGCCTACAAAGTACGGCGACGTTACTCTGAATTTCGAGACTTGCACGCGGCATTGAGTAAGGTCATGCCAGTGTCTCACAGAAAGCTTGCTTCCGTGACGGCTATGGCCAGTATCAGTGACGAAAGCAAGAACAACGAGGACGAAGACGTTTCGGCCAGTTTTCGTTTTTCAATGTCAGATTGTGGCGAAAGTGATGAGCCGACATTACCTCCATTACCAGACAAAGGTGGCGTGTGGAGCTACTTGCAGTTTGACAGCATCCCATTACTCGAGCGACGAGCCAAATACTTTCATGCTATGCTGACAGCTGCACAACGGCACCCAATGGCACGTGCGAGTCGACTGCTCAATGACTTTGTTGGCACGCCGCCTGACCTTGTGTCCGTGCACTCAAGCGTCGAGAACAGTTACGTGAGCTTGAACCGCTTTGCGGCGCCCAAGTTGAGCTTTGATATTGAGATTCAGGAGAGAAAAGAGAAGGCCCAGAGCATAAGACGCCGCCGCAGCTCCCTCAAACGACAAAGCTTTACCGGATCGCTTGATGCCAGCCTTACCACCCTACTTCCGTTGCAGTAAAACGCCTCAACAGCAAACAAACAGCCCCACCGAAGCCAAGACATTTTCCCTACCCCATCCCACACGATGCTTGAGTTTTCTCATCATCGTGCTACTCTGGCGTTCGTTTTCGTGGTATTTGTACTTGTTAGTGCTGTGAATTGTCAAGAAAAGTATAACTAATGTACCGTGCACGCTTCTGTCTTCATTACTTCTTGCTTCTCTTTGCCGCATGAAAGCGCACACGACACTTGTATAGCGCATTGAGTGAGTTAGTCACCTATAACGAAGGATATGCAACAACAAGCGGTTGTTGCGTAGGAAGCTCATGAGGGCTGACAAAGAAAACCTCAGAATCGGTTGGCTCTGTATTCAGCAATCTATTAAGGCAAGAAGCATAGGAGCCTGCACAGACGCACTTCAGCCCGACTTCTCACATAACTGTCTACAGACTTTAACATTGTCAAGGGTCAAACTAAACCAGAGATAAGCTAGATAGATACCCACTTACGGCGGCACCATCTTCTGAATGTAGTCGGCAATCTCTGGCTCAAGATACTCGGACAATTCGTCTCTTGTCACCCAGAGGTAGTCACTAGCCTTCTCCTGGTTCAATACCACATCTCCGTACAAATGCTGTGACTTGTAAAAGAAAACCTTGGTACCATCGTACTCTGAATCATTTTCATGCAGATATTTCACGTAGCCCATAGGTGCAAAGCCCACAGGTGTAGCTTCCAACTCATCACCGACCGTCTCATGAACATGTCGAAGTGCAGCTTCACGCATCTTCTCGACGTCTTTCTTATCACCGACAGGAAAAAACCACGGATATTTTACGTCTTTCTCGTCATTCTTAACCAGCAAAAATACGCGGCCCTTGAGCGCACGGTTGAGTGATTTACGGTTATTTTTCATGTCGTCTTCAGTCTCACGAGGGGCTAAGTGAAAGCCTGCACCCACAATCTCATCAGGATCATCTTCTTCATTAGGCCATGGTGCTTCCTCCGGTGTAATATGCCTCGTTCCTGGCTCCATATACCAAAAATCTTCATCTAATCTCTGATCTTCTCGCAATGCTTTCTCATGCTGCATGACTTGAAAATCCATCTCCCAGTCTTTTAAATCAGGCTGTACAACTGGTAAACGTTCCAAGACACCAGCACTAAATATACGCCACTTCTTACCATCGTTTACTGGTGGTGAGATAAGAAAATTCTGGCGCTGGGATTTTTGACGAGGTTGCTGACGCGGTGGCGGCGGGTTACGCTTACGCTCTTCAATCTTTGCCTTTTGACGCCATGTCAAGCGCTTTTTTTTACTAGAAGCAAATAGACGACGCTGTTGCATTGACTGGACGCCAGATAAAGCACGCGCCAGGCCGCAAAGCGCGAACATGGCAAGGTTACAAGAAGCTTAAAGAGCTGCTGGATGTGTGTGGCTCAGACAAAAAGCTCACCAGTAGGAAACCGGTGGGGTACCGGTTTATATATTCATGTTTACTACATAAAGTTACTACAAAAACATGGCTACATAATGACACCCATACAAGGGTGTGCAGGTTATATCTCCTTGTTGAACAATGGATGGTTGTATCTACCAGGAATCTTAACACCAGCTTCTGAAGTATTGGAGCTAACAAACGTGACGATATTGCGTCGAGCTTCAGAACCAGCTGATCGAGTGATCACGGGGGCTCTTCGACGATCCTGCATACCTTTTGTCCACGAATCCACCTCGACACGATCCAGCTCATGAAACAGCAGACGATGACGTGTTGCTAACGATAGTACACCTTCAACGATTGTAGTAGCCCACGTAACACTTCGTTTGCTATATAGCGTGCGCAAGAGTGGCATGAACTCGGTATGCAGTCGTCGTGCTTGCTCCTCGTTCTGATCTTCTTCTGTATTGTTCACCACGTGTTCAAATCGAAGCTTGACGACTTTTGCAGCTTTGTTAAACTGATACGTTTCATCCGTGAGCAGCTGGGCATGCGTAATCGCTAAGAATTTCCATGTGTCCAGCATCTGCTCTCGCTCCCGCCGTTCGTCATGATCAGCACTCAACAACGCGTCACGCTTTGCATCCAGCGTTTCAAAAAGCTGCTGAAACGCTTTTTGACCGCTCCACGTTTCTCCTTTTTCGTCAATCATCGTGGCCAGAGTCTTGACAAAGAGTTCACTTGACTGTACCGTCAATTGATCACTTATCAATTGACAGAACAATGCACTAGCCTTGGTAAATTTCTTATCCACCAACTATACAATAGTCATAGGACAAGGCATCGATTAGTAAATCTACTAGTACGATCATCATAAAATCTCTTGATAATAACAATCTTCACGTGCCATATATCCTTTCAGTTTTACGATCGTAGCTGTTAAATCCAGTGGCTTTTTCTGTCGTTTTGTATCAAAGTTTTCAATCGTCGTATCGTTATTTTTTCTTTCATCTTGTTCCACTCTTGCTGCTGCTTCTTCTCGCTCCCGTTTGGTCTTTTTCGGCAGATCCAAGCCACGATACAAGTCATCATTTTCATTCATGATTGTCGTCTTGTGACTGCCGAAATATGCTTGATTCAAGTTGTATTCGTTCGAATAGGTGCTTTTGCATCGATGACTACCAGTAAGTCATTTGGTTGTTTACCTGTATCTCAAGATGTTACGTGGAGATTATAACATTCGATTGATTCCCCACACCCCAAAGCCAAAAAAATGAACAACGACTTGACAACTCATGAATATGCACGTATGAATGTATCACCACGTGCTAATCACCATCTACAACTTCATCCATTAGCTCTTACTGTAGGTGTTCTTGGTTTGTTTCTACTATTTTTTCTTGTCACTGCATCGTCCTATCAAAAGCAAAAACTTCAGATTCTAGCACGTAAAATGCTATGGAAGAAGCGAAAATCCATGATGGAAGAAGAAGAGGACAGAGGAGGACCGTACATTGAGTGGTGGAAGGAAGAATAAACCACATCAAGTGTCCGATCTGCCCAGTTTTGTACGTCATGCAGCTGAGTCAGGTAATACACGCGTCATGAAGCGCTGGATTCACTCCACCGATCGAAACGTCGATGCACGTAGTGCCGAGAACCTCACGGCGCTGCATTACGCTGTACGTGGTGGCCACAATGAATGCTCTCGACTGTTATTAACAGCTAATGCAGACCCAAATGCAATGGATGAACGCTGTATTACACCACTTCATTTAGCAGCACTTGGTGGCCATGCACTCTGTGTGAAACTATTGCTGTCACATCATGCTGATCCATTTCGAGAAGACGTTGACCACCATACACCACTGTTTATTGCAGAACAGAGCGGCAATATTGGTTGTGCGAGACTACTACAGAGAGAGATGGCCAAGGCAGCGGTACACGATGTTGCGTCCGTTACGTTACGTGCTGGTGCAAATACCACACACGTTGACAATACAGTGTAAAACGTCACACATACGTAGATTGCTCATGTTGAGGAGAGAATCTTAGTCAGGAAGAAAATATAGCACATTTGAATAATTCTACCTGCAATCTTGCACGAGGTTTTCTATAGTTTAGAGTCGCGACGGGCTTCAAACACGGCAGCAAGAGCGTTCACAAGCCGATCAATTTCGTCACGCGTGTTACTCGCATGAACAACGATGCGAAGACGCTCAGCACCCTTTGGCACTGTTGGAGACCGGATGGGAATCACACGAATGCCCATGGCATTTATCAGCTTGGAAGCACTCAAGACATGGTGATTGCCTTCAAATACCACACCTTGAATGGGAGAGTCACTGAGTAGCAGTGCATTGCGTGGAATGCGTGAATTGCTGTTCACTTTTTCCTTAAGGTATTGCACCAATGCGATTACATCGGTGCGGAGTGCATCGGCTTCGGGGTTGGCACTGAACTCGTGTACACAGGCGATAGCCACGAGTTGATCAAATGGGAATGCTGTGGTATAAATAAAAGACCGCGCGTAGTTGACCAGGTAATCAATCAGCACCTGGGAGCCACAAACGACGGCACCATGGCAGCCCATGGCCTTGCCAAAAGTGTGGACGCGGCACGCAACAGTACGTTTATACTTCTTTTCCAACTCCAGCTCACGTACAACACCAGAACCTTGAGGGCCGTAGACACCAGTACTGTGTGCTTCATCGACAATGAGAAATGCTCCCATCCGGTCACAGAGTGCTGCCATAGCATCCAACGGAGCGAAATCTCCGTCCATCGAGTACAATGACTCTACTACCACATAAACACACGCTCTTGTGGTAGGTACGTCATTAGTAGTAGAGGTTGTGGATGTATACTCGTGAACTTTGTGCTTGAGGTCCTCAAGGTTGTTGTGTCGAAAGGCAAATGAACGGCCATGAGCGTACGCACGGCTTAGTCGAATGCCTTCATGGCATGAACTGTGTACGAATTCATCATACAAGATGACATCTTCTGCCTGTGGAATACAAGACATGATGCCAAGATTGGCAGCATATCCCGAGTTAAACAGTAGCGCTGCATCACTACAGGTCCAACATGAAGAAGACAAATGAATGTGAGTCTATTAAGTGATTTCTTCTGATAGCATTGGAGGAGATAGCATTTACCTGTTGTAAAACGTAGCCAAGTCCTTTTCCACTTGCATAAACAACCGTGAGTTGCCTGAAATAAGTCGTGAACCTGTAGCTCCTAGCATCCGTCCATGCTGATTTTCCAACTCCACGTGACGAGTCTTTATGAGTTCCTTTAACGATTGCAAGCGTGCAAAGCCAAGATAATCGTTTGAGTAAAAGTCAATTGCAGTAGGTGCAGTCTCATTGGAAACCTCAAGCTTTCGAAGCGTGCCTACAGCTCGACGGCGTGCTAGTATCACACTTAACTTCTCGTCCATTCAAGTGATTGATTCCAACAAAGTAAAGGGAAAAAATGCTATGGCAGATCAAGGACAGGTCGGTCATATGTGGGCTACATGAGAGCAAGACTTTGTTCGTATTCACCTGCTGTCGACTTTTGAGACGTGTGCTAAGTCTACTGGGCCCGAGCTTTAGTACGTTGGCAAATGGCTTGCTAAGGCTTTTCAATCTCTGAGCAAGTGGCGACTGACTATTGACTAAGATGCGACTTGTCGTCAATCACTGTCAATGATAAGTTACGTATTTCTTATACTAGTTACTCCGTGCTTCTTTCTTTGTCGTGTTTGCTCTCGTACGCACTATAATTACACGCTACGCCGATGACTCAAAACTCTCTGCGTCACCTTCAGTTCGCAATATGATTCTACTCGATGTTAGTACGCACCCGCTTCAAGTGCAGATGCGTGTTGGCACATGTGGCCATTCATTTACTCGACAAAGAGCAATATATCCAAACCAACTTCTTCAGCGTTAGGAAAAGACGCACCACCATCCTGCTGATAGGATGGTTCTTTCTTCAATATGCCAATACTCCGAGCCGTGGACGATATATCTTCGTAGTTGGTCGCACTTGAACCCTCTTGCCAATCAAACTCAGCCTTGCAGTCAAAATCGTTCTTACAGTCAAACTCAAGCGGGAACGAACCCAGCTCCAAGTTCGACGATGACGTCTGCGCATCCCACATCCACGGCTCTAAGAAAGCTCCCTGCAACGCAGCAGCATCAGCAGCACCATTGTTCCTGCTATATTGGCTACCAATTGATGGGAACGGCAGAGCTTGAGCTTCATTGTGTTTCAGATCAAATGGCTTGAGTCCGTTGTTACTCAGACTCAAATCTGCAAAAGTGGTCGACGTGCTGCTGTTGTTATTTAGCATCGGAGGCAATGACAACCGAAAACCAGACGAAGTTCGTGCACTCTCCAAGTCGTTGTGGTTCGAGACAGCAGGAGTCGACAAGGCAGGTGCTGTCATCTTCCTTTTGGTACCAGTAGCTACCACAAGACGATGTGGCTGAAGCAGTGGCAGCGTAAACTGCTTGAAAGCATCATCACAAAAAGCTTCCAAACCACAAGCAAGTGAATCCGATGTGTCATGCTTCATGGCAAGATTGGATCGTGCCCATTTCTTCAAAGGAGGTTGATGACACTGACTATGACGGAAGGTTTTGCTCTCCATAGTAGCATTGAAGTTCGGACTTTGATACATTTCAACCAATGGTAAAACATCATTCTTGTCCATCACATCATCACAATGTGATACTTGCACATTCATTGAACGTCGACATACGCTCGAACTTGATACAGTCTCTTCTTCTTTACTCTTTTCCTTGTCATTACTACGTCGTTTCATCGATTGTCGATTGAATCCAGAAATTATTGATGGAATCACGTGCGTACTTTTCTGTCGCCATTGATCTCGAATCGATAATTTTGAGCCTTTTCCACGTGAAAAATCAGGTGGAAAACAATTGTGACTAAATGTACAAACACCACTGGATTGTGTTTTTGTCCACTTGCGAAAGCCAAAATTGTTCAATTGACGCTGAAAACTGGCAAATTTCTGATGTTTAAAATATTTTGGCAAAATTTCACATTCAAAACGCGCCATTTCAAGAATATGAAAAGCAGTGACACAATTGGGCGTTAATGCTTGATTTTGAACCCATGAAATAATGTGTGGATCTTCTGTCTGTAAAATTGCATACAATGAGCGTAAAAACTTGGGAACTTTACATGTAGCAGCCGTAGCTGGTGCCAAAATTACTAGTTCAGTCGGTTGAAGACATGTCATTGTCGACTTGATTGTTTGCTTCTTCTTGGTACAACTAGGTAGAGTATGAGACAGTCGAATACGCTTGGAAGATCCTGGTCGCGATAGGTCCGTTGGACTTGGACGAACGGTTTTAGCAGATGGCATGACAAATTAACCGACAAATTAAGGTTGGTATTGTAATTTTCAAGTTTCAAATTTGACCAGAGAGTTAGTCACTGGACTGAAAATCTATGAATGATTTCAAGATTAAATCGTGGCAAAAGAGATGAGAAACGGCGGGAGGGCATGGTGGTCAGTGCGGTCTAGAAGAGAGAGAAGGACCAATCAATAGTCGTCAAACACGACCCGTTGGATCGCGCGTCCCAATAACGGGAGACAGGGCAAACATAAGATACTTTTTTGAAGTTCATCTTGTGCTCTGACGTGTGTGATTATTAGTAAACAATTTTGTGGTTAATGGGTGAAAAGTAAGGGTAAAAACAAGTCTGTTAGCGGCTAAAATACGTGAAAATACCGGCTGTTTTACCCTTTGGAACCGCAGCGCGTTGAACGCATTTATTATCGATAGACGACGACCGAGAAATTAAAAGTTACAATTTCCACACTCAATAGAGTTGCAAAGTAGACGATAGTATCGGATTATTGTATTCGAATGGACAATTCATAAAGCCAGCAAACAGCAACTTTTAGGTGAAACCGTCAAATGACGTGCCCACCCACAGGCAAGATACGCCGTTTCCGTTCACAGCTGTGGTATTCCTTATAACAGATTGATACATTGCCACATGGAAGAAACAGTGACGGAACAATCGACGAACGTTTTTTTACCAGATCAAAAACAGCGTCACGATATATCGAACGTCAGGAGATTTTTTGCAGTAAGGTTGTCTATTGTTATGAAAATACTGTAACATGGAAAGCAAGAAATGGTATTTACTCGATAAAGTTTATAGTCATAGTAAGACTGCAAGATGTTGTCTACTTGGTTGATACATAGAAGAATAGATAGAAGTGTGTCCCTGCTCACGTTTGCAGATTATAGGATCTAATTATTATCGATAGACAAATGGTAGACGAAACACTGCTGGACAATACAAATATCGTACCCCGGCCCTTGGTCCATGCTATGGTCTAAAATCAGCGTACGCATGTCGGTGGATTCCCCCCACAACCTCGCACACCCACACTACAAAAAGCATCTAACTAATTAAAAACCTGACGAGGCGATTGGTGTCGCCCGACACAAAAACGTCATGGTTGTGTCTGTCTTTCTTTGGCTTCGAATGAAGCAGTAGATTGGATTGGTAGCAACGCACATGGCCGACGGGTAAAGATCCGACTCAGTACCGAGTAGTCCACTCACTCCATTACATGTAACAGCAGCTCCAAATGGTGTTTGTAGTAGCTCAAGGAATCAATCCAGTTTTTGAGTTCTTGCGAAGCAGGCGTTCACCACGAGCACTCGCGAGCCACGCACCCACATCTGCAGCACTTGGACGTAGCTTTGAATTGCGCGACAAGCAAGCTGCAATTAAATGCGTGATAGGCAGTGGACAATCTGGCGAGAGTTGAGGGCGCAGTCCATCATCAACAATGCGACGCATTAAACGCAGCGGGTGCTGCACAAGTCGCTCAGACAGTGAAGCAGGATCGTGATAAGGCAGCATGCACGTGTCCAACTCACTGAATAGTATACCAAGCGAATATATGTCGACTTTCTCAGTGTAGTCCTCGCCCAGCAATAATTCAGGTGCAGTCCAGGATAATGTGCCTGCTGCAGCCGTATTGATTTTGTCAGCTTTACCCGTACATTTGCGTCGACTGATACCAAAGTCACACAATTTAGCGTCGAGTGAAGACGATAGCAACACATTACGAGATTTTACATCGTGATGCAGCACTTTGGGGACCAGAGCATGCAAGTAGGTCAATGCGCTAGTAACTGCCTGTGCAATTGCGAGCTTTTGCTTTGACCAAGTGAAATGATTCAAATGCGATGAGTAAAGTAATCCCCCGGCAGCAGCACCAAGACCACTAGCAAATGAAGCTGGCGATGTTGCTGCAGCTGCAAGAACTTCGTCAACTTGAGGTAATCCTCCCGACATCAATCCTGAACGCCTCAACGCTGTGTTGCTAGAGCTACTTAAAGCCATCAACGTGCTGTTGTTAGTGCGTTGTTGAGCTAGGAAATGATACAAGTCACCACCTTCCATATATTCCTGCACCATAACTACACGCTCGAGTGTGTTCCAAGCAATGCCGTTCAGTGTCACGATGTGGGGGTGCTTTAGCTGCGCCATGAGGTAGATTTCAGCCAGAAACATCTCCGTTTCAGGTAATAAGCGACGCTTTTCCGGCACTAATTGTTTGATCGCAACCTGTGCGTTCTTGTGGAGTGCTAACCAGACCTCGCCAGTTGACCCCGATGACAGCCGTCGCAAGAGTTGCAGCTCACCGACCGGAACACGCAGTCGCCGAATCTTGCGGTGTGACTCAAACAGGCGAAAGCTTTGGATGGTCATCTCGTTTTTTCGCACTGTCAGTTCATCGGTAGTTGATTTACGAGTCCCCGTGTCAAGAGAAGATGTTTCTGGCTCAGTTTGCAGTGGATGAATTCGTGCGTTCGATTTTAATGGATCGAACGAAGACGCTGACAGCCCAATTGTAGCGTCAAAATGCTCAAAAATTGCAGCATTTTGGATTCCTTCGTCACAGGAAAGTGACGCCTCCGACCCGTCAAGCCCTGAATCCTGCGACCTGCTGACTGAAGATCGAGAGCTGTACGCATGTTCATCACTGCTAAAACTAGAAGAATCCCATGAGGATTGGTTCTGCCGACTACTTCCGGCAGTGTGAGAGCTCCATAGCCTTCCTTTACCTTTACGCTTTGGCGCTAGAAACGCTTCAACTGCTCCATTGTCAAATAAATGTCGATTCTCACGCATGAATTGATCCACTTCTCTCTGTGCTTCATCACGCAAAGCCGACTTATAGCGGTACACAGCAACTGTGCCAAACGTCAAAAACGTGACAATACATAATGGCACCAGCAGCCACGTCTGGTCCCCCTTTTGATCTGCTCCATACTTTTTGAGCCACGCAGAGGCCACAATGCCTGGTTCTGGGGTACAGAATGTCGATTGATTGACTAAATTATACGGTGCACATGGGATCACCATTGCCGGTACGAGTGGACACTGCGTATCAGCTACCTCATAATGTGTCGTATGCAATGCAAAGATCAAGTTTGACGCTCCATCATTGTCCAAATAGGCATGACGTTGTACAGTCACCTCTGGTAATGTCGTGGCATTACCTCCATCTCCCCAGACAGCTGCATATGCTGGTGCAGAGATATCTTGAGATGCGTCTACTGCACATTGAACAAGTCGAAAGAGATGTGAAGCTTTGCAATCTAACGATCGATAGAAGCTTGTACCATCAGGTAAGACACAATGTTTCAATTGACAGCCAATACGTTCGAATGCCTTGGACGGTATGACTAATTCAGCCATCGAACGACCACATCGTGTATAGACTTTAGATAAGGAGTGTGTCGATGTCAATACATAGCCAGCATCCCATAGAAAAGCACGTTGTAAGAGACCAGGAAGTTCATTCCAAGTAAGTGAATGAATGCTCAGCATTTGTTCTAAATCACTTGGTAGCATCTTTGACGTCACATGTGATAGTTGTGGAGTGTTATCCATCTCTGTATAAAGCATATAATATTGGTGAGCAAAGTCTGAATGCATACCATTAAATTCAAAACCTATTTCAGTAGGCACATCAATTGAATACGTGATATATAATGTCAATGACAGCACTAGGAGTAATGATGTAAACGACGATGGCTTTCGTCTCATGGTTATCAAATGAGAGTGTATGTCAGATGAAAAAAACACGTCGTCATTGGTATAAAAGAATGAGATTCGGTCGGTACGACCCATAGGATACCGGTATTATATGCATTTTTCTGCTCCTTTTGTGTAATGCAACTTAGAAAAAACTACCTAGGGGAAAATGCTCTACAACTGCACAGTAAATACCGAGTGCTCCTAAGTCTTGTGTAGACTTATACAAAGAATATGGTCTGAAGAAGTTACTAATGCTCACCATTAAAGACATTCGTCCATAACCTTCCAGTATTTAACTATACAGTGAAGGATCAGTCGACTCACTTACCACAAAGCGCTCACGTTTGACAAATAAGACCACACCAATCATCCTATCCAACCGATTAAGCCCGTCTTTGCACGACACAATCAAGGGACTAAACTCATACTAGATCCACATTATTTGGTGCAGTCTTTTATAGGACCATACAATAATATTTAAATAAACTCGAAAAGCTACAAATTGTATATGTACCATACCGTGTTGTCCAGGCTGTCTACAAGTTGAGGCACGCAATAAATTGCCGCATGATCGCTGACAAATTAGACACATCCCGCACGAAAGCAGATAGAGTTTTGATCCTGTGTCATATCATTACCTGCAGAAACCATTCAGTATTTCTACTCATTGTAGTATCAGTCTATGTTTTTTTTTGTCTGTATCTTTCTATTCCCTTTCATTTCCGATCTACAAACCAAGCCACTTCTGCTTATGTCTTACAAACCCACGTGTCAAGTGTAAAATAGTCAGTACTAATCATCTGATCCAGTCTACGTAGATACAAACAAACGAACGGTCGCCACTACCGCTGCCTTTATAAACTTAATCTCCAGTAGTTCATTTGATACTATTGTATCATGTCCTCATTAACAACAAAGTCTCCTATTGCATTAGCAGCTCAACCGTATCTCTGTGGTGGTTCATCAGCTGTATTTGCTGCCGTTGCTATCCATCCAATTGATCTTGTCAAAGTGCATTTACAATTAGCAGGTCAAACAGGTTCAAATGTGACGGGTCTAGGCGTAGCTCGCTCTGTTCTTGCAAAGGAAGGGATTACTGGACTATACGCGGGTCTGTCGGCTGCTGTAGCCCGTCAGATGGTCTACGGTACGGCCCGTCTTGGTATGCATCGTGCTTTCTCGGATAAAATGATTGCGCGTCGTGTCGCCAACGGGGAGAGCGCGTCACTGCCACTCGCGATCAAGTCCGGCTCAGCTATTGTTACGGGCGGTATTGCCGCCACATTGGGATGTCCTATGGACGTCGCTCTTGTCCGTATGCAGGCTGATACACTGTCCAAGGTTGGTGACAAACGCGGCTATAAAAACGTGTTTGACGCTATCTTGAAGATCGCTCGTTCAGAAGGTGTGACTACGTTATGGCGTGGTAGCATCCCTCTTGTGGCTCGTGGGGCCGCCATGAACCTTGGTATGATGGCTTCGTATGATCAGGCAAAAGAGATGATCACGGCTCAGTATGGCCACGGCTTCGTCACGAACATTGGCGCCAGTGCCGTGTCTGGCTTTGCCTGTGCCTTCACGTCACTGCCTTTCGATCTGGTCAAGTCGCGTCTTATGAACATGAAAGTGGATCCTGTTACGGGAAAGAATCCGTACACTGGTGTGACTGATTGTTTCAAGCAGATCATTGCCAAGGAAGGACTATTCAAGCTTTGGCGTGGATATTGGACGTATTACACGCGCTGTGCACCGAACGCAATGATTGTGCTTCTGGTTGTCGAACAACTCAACTCTGTATACAAGAAAATCCTTCTTGACTAGATTGATGTTAGTCATCCTCTTGAGCACTGCGTTGATCAATATTGGGTGGAATGGAAAGCTCAATGTCTATAGATTGTTTTGCTCGCCTTCAAATGAAGACGAGGTTTGGGTATAATTTTGCAGCGTTCAAGTGCTCCAATTGAAGTACGTTAAGGCATGAAAGGATGGAGATAGTAGCATGCATATCTCGAATCACAGCGCTGCACAACGAAGATAGTGTGCGGGTAGTAAATAATATGCTATTGTATCTGCCACCACAAACTCGCGCTGCAATTTCCCTGCTGTTTCACCTTCTAGCTCGAATTTGTTTAGGTCGTAATTGATGATGGTGGCGCCTTCAAAAGGTTCTGAATGTCCGATTCCATGCTTACAGGTAACTCGCTTGGGGCATAACACTTGAACAATCGACCGTCGCGATCAAAGAGAAATTTGACAAAGTTGTTTTTGATGAATGCATTTGCAGCTGTCCTGGCTGTCGCGTTTTACAAAAGATCATCGCCTCGCGCGCGTTTGGACCGTTCACGTCGCGAGTAGCTAGCACCGGAAAACAAACATCAAACGCTTTTGCGAGATGCTCCACGAGTTCCTTATCGTTGTTGATCTCAGCATCTCCAAACTGAGCACTAGGAAATGCCATCACCTTGAGCCCTGCGTCTCCGTACTCGGCGTACAGCTGTGCAAGCGCCAAAAGTTGCTTTGCGTCGGAATCACTGGCACCACTAGTCACATTCGTCAGCAAAGCCACGTGACCACGAAGCCCTGACAAGCAAACGGTGTTACCCTCTGCGTCAATGTCGTGCAGCGAGTACAGGGAAGCTGACGACGCAGCAAATGACAAGACTGAAGGGTGGGTCTCCAAAAACGCAGCACCAGCATCTAATAGCGCCAGCAACCACTGTTCTTGGTCTGGCTTGTTTTCCAAGACTAGAATCTCCGCTGCGTCGTCGTTCCCGTGGATACCGTTCCGATCACCGTCACAGCTGCAAAGTTTTAACTCATAGACGCCATAGTACTCCACTGTTGCCGCAGTGAGATCGACACGCAAAAGTTCGCTTCTTGCCACGTCCGTTTCAAACAGCACAAGACACTGGTGTTTCGTACTCACGACAGCGTAGCAGGGTTTCGACTTTGTTGCAATTCCAAGCAAATTTCGTACGTGAGACCCTCGAGATTGACGCTGCACAAACCCAGCACGAATCGCACCATCGGTCACGGCCCAGACAGATAGAGTGCCTTTCAATTGTCGCGATTGCTTTTTATGGCTTGTAGGCGATTGATGTGGCTGAATGGGTAAAACGACGGCACTTGGTAAGGAGCTTGTTGAACTCCTATCAAGAGTCGTAGAAGCTACCACATGAGGCATTGGGACAATTGCATTGGCTCCCGGAGCTACAAGCTCATAATAGTAATCATCCAGCACGTAAAGTTCTTCAAGTAATTCATCGTCAGCTTCTGCAATTTCATCAACCGGCGACAAGAAACCACTTAGCACCAGTGCTTCTGCAAGCTGCTGCGCATCACGGAGAGTGTTGTTGGCTGCATTTGAGAGCAAGAGATATCTTAAAATTGCCTTTAACAGCTTACGACCTTGTACAAATGTTCCTTGTCCAGCCTTTGCCAAATGAACTGGATGCTGCCACCAATGCTTTCGTTGTTCAAACACATGCAAACGTACTTTGGGTGCCAACAAGTATGTTGCGACCATGTCCGATTGTGCCTTAATTTCCAATGGCAACACGTGAAAACGCTGAAGTCGACGAAATACACGTCCTTCGACCGCTACAACTCGTGAGTGACGTGGTGACATGTTTGAAAGATCAGATGAAGGTGACATTGCAGTCAGGAACGATGGTTCTCGTTCCAACAGTTCACGCTCAGTTTGCTCTGTTTCTTGAGCACTTTCCGCCAATGCTATCATACACTGTGCTGCACTCATTGTATGCAAGTTCGAAACTGAAAATGAAAAGCTATTTACGTGTTCACTCCCTTTCTCGTATTTTACATCTTCCAGTTAGAGAAATTCCTACGGATCACCGGAACAAGTTGAAGTTGACTTGTCGTTTAGTCAATGAAAGAATTGGTGGCAATTACAATATGAATCAATCAATACATTCATGCTTTAATGCAGCTAAGAGATAAAGTGCCGACGTAATTATCCTATAACCAAGTATTGCGCAAGTAAATCCCACCTATTGGCTCATTTAGGGCGCCGTCACAGCCGCTGCAACATTTTCCGACTTGACAGTCTCCTCCTTAGTCGTTACCGCAACGTCCTTAGACTTGACAATCTCCTCCTTAGTCGCTGCCGCAACGTCTTCCGGCTTGACAGTCTCTTCCTTGGTCGCCACCGCAACGTCTCCCAACGTAACAGTCTCCTCTTTCTTCGTCGGCACCTCTGTTGGAATCTCGTTCGTCTTACAAGACTTGACCACTTCGGTGGTAGCACTTTCTTCCTTCTTCTCTGTCTTTTCCTCGTCGTCCGATTTGACAGCTTCCGTTTCCGCCTCCTGAATCTCTTCTTCCGTCTTTTCCGGCTCTGGTGTCTTCGCCAACAGTTCCTTAATGTCTTCCTCAAACGACAGTGGGAGGTCATTCGGTGCGTAGCGCTTGTAAGGCTGGCCATTGCGGTCCACCAGAAACTTGGTAAAATTCCACTTGATGTAGTTGCCAAACGTTTCGGGCAATTTTGCCTTCAGGTACGTAAATACCGGACGAGCGTTCGAACCGTTCACATCGTGCTTCTCAAACAGCGGGAACGATACATTGTACTGCTTCACGAATTCTATGATCTCCTCGTGTGTGTCAGGCTCCTGACCAGCAAACTGGTTGCATGGGAACGCTAGCACCACCAAACCCTCGTCCTTGTATTTCTCGTACAGTTGCTGTAGCTCCGGATAGTTCGTAGGCGTTAGACCACACTTGCTCGACACATTCACTACTAGCACTACCTTGCCTTTGTACTCCGCCATGTTTACTTCCTTCTTTTCCATGTCAAAATCCTTCAGCTCATAAAACGACTTTGCCTCCTCTGCAGCAAGGTTGTACACTTCGCGGTACTGCGCGCCAACGTTCAACAACGTGTTCAAAAAGGCCTCCTGCTTTTCTTTCGTCACCAAGTTCAGCAACTCAGACTTCTCGCCGTACGCAATCTTTACACCAAATTGAAAGTGGGAATTGTCAAATTGGACAAAGCCGTCGGCTGTAGCGTATTCGGCGAGAGTCGCTCGCGCGACATCCGACTCGAAAACGTAAATCTTCTCGGTCTTTTCGTTGGCCACAACGTACACATCTTTGCCCTGAGTAAAGGCAGAGAACACGCCAGCCTTGCGCTTCAGCTGTGACGCATAGATAGCGCCATCCACAACGCTCCACACCGTAGTATCCTTTGACTCCGTAATCGTTTCAGACAGTGGCACGAACAGCTCATTATCCATCACGTATTCTTTTGGTGCCTCGGCCAAGTAGTTCTTCACTCGGTCTTTGTACGGCGTGATAAACCCTGCAAGCACAAGAGCCTCAGCAATCTCCTTAGCACGCACACGATACGGTGAAGACGCATCCGCTTTCTTTTTTTTCTTCTTTTCTTCCTTCTTCGATTCTTTAGGGGCCTCCTCTTCCTTCGGTTCTATAATTTCCTCTTTTGGCGGTTCCTCCTCGACCTTAGGCGTCTCTTCCTTAACCTTTAATGACTTTTCCTCAACTGTTGGTGTCTCTTCCTCAACTTTTGAAACCTCTTCCTTGGCTTCTGTCGTCAGAGCTTCTACCTCCATCTCAGGAGTCTCTTTGTCTTCCTTCTTCATCTCCGTCATGGCCTCTTCCTCTTTCTTCTCGATCTCAACCAAAGTCTCCTCCTCCTTCTTTGTCTCCTCTTCTTCAGGCTTTAACCACTTCTCTAGGAAATCCAAAAGCTCTTTGCCACGCACACTGTGCGACACTTTCACAAGTGCTGAATGATGGACCGTAAAGACCTCACTCTTCTTCTCCGTTAGGAACGTCTGAGCTTCCGTTGCTTGGGCAACAAGGTCTTCGGCAAGCGCACTAAAGGCAGCTCGACGAGCAAACACGCGGCCATAAACATGATCACTCATAGTTTGTTCTTCTTCAGTCTTGACTTGATCTCAATGTGCGCGTTTGTTGAAAAGTTGCAGAATGAAGCGTTTTCTTTTCTTTTGTCTCTCTCAGCGACAGCGCCAGCTGGAGGGTACATTAGTGTACATAAAACAAACAACCCATCAATCTCGAAACGATACTGTAAGGTTGATGCAGACGAGACAGTGTTTTGTATGCAATCTGAAAGGGAAAATGTATCTGCTTAATACTGCAGTCTGTATCAGGATTCACGTTTGATATTCAATCGTAAATCAGCATTGAATTAGTTCCTAGAGGTACAAATTCAGATGCGCATGGCAGTACCCTGCGACAATGCGGGAAAAGTGCAGCCATGTTGCATAACCGGGATGTTTTGAGAAGTGTATATTCGCAAACCTTCACTTTCACGTGACAATCGTGCCTTACTCTATCTATCTACACTTGTCGTCAGTATTGCATGTAATCATCAATTTACCTTTTGAATCAATCTAGAAGCTCTTCCTTTTGCTGCTCTTGCATATTCCTCAAGTGTCTTGTGTTTCTCAACGTGTCTTGCGTCTTTACACGTGCCATACCTCATCGTCTTTCATAAAAAGGGTTGCCAAACATGTCCCGCATCGAGTGGATGGTCGACGAATCGCTAGCAGCACGCCTTCCGAGCTCAAACCCTGGTCACCAGGATGGGTATGATAGCAGTCGTTGTTTGAATATTGTTCACTTGTGCTGGAGAACGAAGAGACACACACGTGTTAACAGTGTTCATGAACGTATGTTTCGTTCATAAGCTTCAACATGTTTGCCGACCAAGAAACGATGTAACTTAGTTTGCGCGGAGTGACGAAGGCTCCGTGCGATGAGCGACAAGGGCACTAAGCCGGTCATAAGAAGATGCGTTTTAGAGACACCACCATAGAGCACTTTTGCGTGCTCCATTTTTCGTCTTTCCTCATCGAGCTGGCTCTTAGTCTTCATCCACATCATTAGTGACAAAGACGTTGTTTGAAGATCTCAAATACGTGTGCGTGCATTATGGTGTTCATGGTCGCTTTGCAATGATAATGATCACCATCCCACACTAATTTTTCTCGCTGGCAACTTCAACATACAAGCCGAACGACTGCAAAGTTCGTCGTTACCTACATTCGTGGCTTTCTCGGCCGTCTGTCTGTGCACGGCAATTCATAAGCTGCGATTTTGTCATTGAACGGAGCTTAACTTGTATAGCTGAATGGACGTTATTGAAAGGCCGCGTGTTGTAATGGCACAGTATCTAAGGTCCAAGTGCAAATTGGCTGACCAATTGTGACAAGGCTGATTCGCTTCCCAAAATGCACCAATTGACAGATGATTGGGATTCCACACTCTTTGAGGAATCTTCACCATGTTTGCTTCGTGAACGACATAGAACACTTTGCGCAGCATATTTATTACTTACCGTCGACGTGAGATACAGAGGTGTTGGCTCACACACTTCTAAAGATGAACATTCACTCATCACTAGGAAGGTACGTGAGTCAAAAGTAAAACTCAAACTACAAACAAGATATTGCTAGCAGTGGGCACTGTGTCTAGTGGTTGGCAATGGTGCCAACAAACCACAAAACATACTTTGCTACTCACTTCTAACCACACCGCGTTAAACCTTACAAACGCTGTGCTGGTATCTCAGGTAAGATATAAGACGGTCTCACACTTGCATGTGTCGAGTACCGATACACCTCGTCGCAACAATTTCTGCAAATAGTGCGGATCTTAAGCTTCTTTTGATGCTGCTGGCCCAGACTCGAGCGACCTCGGTCCATACCACGACACCCAGTGCTCGCTCTATCGTTGCCTATCCAAAAATTCGTCTGTGTGTCGGTTCCGGCGTTGGCAAAGCTGTCCACCGTGGCCTGATAGCCACACTTGCGGCACAGCGAGACCGAGTGGCAAATATCGCATATATGCCGCCTCCGAAAAAGTCCAAAGCGTTTGCCACAATGCTCGCATCCGGTGGCTATCTCGTCAACGACACCAATGGAGCGCGACATAGGCCGGAACGTGCTTGGACTGGATGTGTGAGCCGACTCTAGCGGCACCATACTGTCTATGCTACTGTGTCCACGCATTAAGCCGCCTGTCGTGTCGGTTGGAATCGAGGGGCTCGCATCAACCATACTGCCACGCTGGCCGGGAACAACTGCCATAGATGGAGATGTGCTCGACATCGACACTGACGACTGCCTTGGTAACACAGAAGTATTGACTACAAACGTAGCTCCCTCCGACGACTTTTTGATTCGCTTAAGACGAGAGCTACGAGACTCCGTGCCCTGGACACCCACGACACTTGCGCGCATGATACCATATACCGTCAAAAAGCATGCAACAATAAGCCAGAGAGAGCGAAGTCCTTCTAGCTTAAACGTTTCAGCGGAATCGAGCAAAGTAGTTGATAATCGGCACAATGTTCTGCTGTCAATCTTGACTCGATCGAGTTTTGTCCATTGGTACTCGAACGCGCTCGCCGCATTGTCTCTACTGAGGGCCTGTATGCGGTATCCGTATCGACGTCCGCATTGTACATCTAAGTCCACAAATTCTGACGTATTTTTGTCCAGCAGTGTGCTCCACTGTGGCTTATTTTCGCGTCCCGGGTATCGTTGAAGCACAAAACGTTCGACGGGCCACAAAAGGGTCTCAAAGCTTCGCCAACGCACCACCACAGCATCACACGTTCCAACAGCTACCAATAACGGTGGGTGTGGAAATGTAGGATCTAAAAACAACACGACACGACAACAATGGTCATTTACAACACCTCTACGTACATCATAACATCAATTATTACAAATGATGCGTACATTTGCGCCATGTCTTCTCTTCTTCTAGTTCAAATGGTATCTCGGATAAGAATACGTCATGAGTTGCCAAACTTTCAACAGCATCATTTGCTTCATTCCGAAAGTACATGAATGGGCACGTTGCCTTATACAATGTCTGAAGACCAGGAACTGCATCAAGTATTCCTAACACATTAAACAGTATACTAATTAGACTCGTACAATAATCAACCAAGAACAACAAAAACGCTTTGTTGCTTACGAGTAAGTCAATGACTGGCTACAGTACTGTACCTACCTTCAAGTGAGAAAACCTGAACGCCCATGTAAAGATTGTAACATAAAGTACTACCAAGAGTAAAGAGATGTAATAATTGCAACTCATGTGTGTACAAAGCTCAACACGAAATGAAGGTAAACAAATACGAGCTCTCCCCCGCTTTTGTTCCCAGGTGGTAAGTGTAGTAGACCCATTTATTTTTGAAAGGGAATCTTGGTCGAAATGAAGAGATTGGATTGGTTGAAACTACATACTATTAGGTGTAAAAACAGGGGCAAGTCGATAACAACCGACGGTAAAGCATCCTCGAATCAGCTTGCAACACTGGAAACATATGGTATTTGTATCAAGATATATATATACAATGACGATTCTGAGCCGGCTTGCACATGTCACAGATAGAACCACATTGAAACCTCGGTAGTATACGCGTTGTGTTAGCCGCTACCATAATATTACAATACAAATCATTTATTATGTATAATAGTTGGCTCAGTATTTTCTAGCAGTCTATGTAGCCATCTGATCTATTACTCGTCTGGTAAACATATACTTACTTAAGTAATTACGAGACAGCTCGTGCTATTCTTTGAGTATAAATGTTGTAGCTATATTGGATTGCGTATACTTGCCAGCTAGCCCCTTCACTTTTCCGAGGCTTTTTGCGCCAACAGCGTCTTGATGTCCTCCTCGAATGACAATGGAGTGTCCTTTGGTGCATAACGCTTAAACGGCTGACCATTGCGGTCTACCAAGAACTTGGTAAAGTTCCACTTCACAAAGTCACCAAATGAACCCGGTAATTTTGTCTTCAAATACGTAAACACTGGGCGAGCCGTTGCGCCGTTCACGTCATGCTTCTCGAAAAATGGAAACGTCACATTGTACTGCTTCACAAACTCCATGATCTCTTCATGCGTACCAGGCTCCTGACCAGCAAACTGGTTGCATGGAAATGCCAGTACCTCCAGACCCTCGTCCCTGTACTTTCCATACAGCTGCTGCAGCTCTGGGTAGTTTGTGGGCGTTAGACCGCATTTGCTCGACACATTGACGGCCAAAACAACCTTGCCCTTGTACTTGGCCATCGACACCTCCTTGCCATCCATATCAAAGTCCTTCAAGTCGTAAAACGACTTGATCTTGGCCATATCCTCCACGTTAAACGCCTCTCGGTACTGTGCGCCAGCATTAATGAACGAGTTGAGCCACTCTTCCTGTTTCTCCTTGCTTTCTGCAGCAAGAATCTCCGTGGCCTTAGCATTAGCCAGTTTAATACCATATTGCATGGACGTATCAAACTCGACGGCGGCACCGGATGAAAGATCGACGGAAGCAAGAGGCGTGGTCTTGTTAGTCTCGGACTCGAACACTGTCACGTTCTTGAGCTTGTCATTGGCCTCGACATACACCAGCTGCTTTCCACCCGTAATCTTGGCAAATAATCCAGTGCGTTTGCGGTACAAATTACCAGCCTGGATCACTCCCTCAATTTTGTTGGCTGAACTCATTTGATATGAGGAGAATTCAAATGTGAAGATGGACTTTTGAGGTAAAACGTATTTGTTACTTCACATGTGACATGTTTGGAGTATATGTTGATTATGTCATCCATCATCAAGGAAGGTAGGACGAAACGATATGGATACTTGATACTAGGAACAAGACCGAAAGACATGATTTCTATTTCATTCCAGTGTGCCTGATTTATATCTAGAAGCTACTGCACACAAGCTGCCATGTTCACTTTATTTGCTGCTACAAAATGCTTCTTACTCATTCCTTGAAGACGTAATCTGAGATTTTTTGGCTTCCGTAATGGATTCTTTGCTTATAAAGATGTAAGGGCTCATTCTTTCCAGGTGTAAGTATTCGGTTTCAATTGCAGACACACTTTTCATTTAATGGCTGGTAAAGATACTGCTGTAGCCTAGAGAGTCATTGAGCAGCAACCAGCACGCACATTTGTATGAGATTGACATTATTGCAATCTACTTATTATTTGTAAACATTAGAAACCTTGATTACGGACTAGAAAAAATGTCACTATCGCATATATGTATCAATTACAGAATGGTTCGCTATGCAGAGACATCAACTTCAGAAGAAAAACGTCTTGCATGCGCTGACATTTACGTATTTAGCTTAGCAGCGAAGACAGGAAAAGTAAGACGTGCTTGACCGCTTAGCAGCCACACACGGGGTTGAACAGTGGTTTAACCTGCTTAGCGTGCCTCTGATATAACAGCTGGACAAAAATATTGCTAACATACAACGCATCTTAAACAACACGTTGGACTTAAGGTGAAGTTGGAAAAAACGCAATCAGTCAGTTATGTGGATATGTGAAGCGTAAAAGATTGTCGTATTTGGCAAGAGTACGAGTTATGATATTGCCTTTATCGATTTTGTTTGAGACATATCGATTTGTCAAAAACTGATACATAAACGTAACGAGAGGACAAACAAACAGCGTATCTTTAGCTAATTTACCCACAATTCCTAGACTTTAATAATTTACATAGATATATGTATATAAATAAATGATACTCGTACAAGCTGTTGGGACATTAGCTTTAACCTTGCCTTTTGACACTACACTTCGTCGACACTGTCCTTGACAAAACACTTGATTCTTGCTCTGTCACGATTGACTACAATAGATCGTTTGCAAATCGATATGTTGGCGCAATTCCATCAATCTTGGTGCGCCAATGCCTTTGTTAGTATGTCCGCAAGCATATTCATAGTCTCTCAATATTCGGGCTTTATAATTTCACGCATCGTAAAATCACCGACATTCTTGATGTGCACATCAATATATTTAGGTGTTACAGGTGGTCTCTTTCCGTTAAGCTGCTCTACAACAGCTTGGCTACTCGCAGTAGCATCGTTTGTTCAAATTGTGTGGTCACTAGTTAGCAAAAAGAGAATTGGAATTGTCTTAGCCGAATATTAAACTATGCTAGGCTTTTTGGCGTTCGTGGCAGCGTTTTAATAATTTTCTAAGGCTTTTAGAAGTTATCTCTTAGAACTTTCATCAGTTTAATATGTATCCTATGCAAAGCGACCGAGACGGGGACCGAAGTCTATAGATCCGCAGTAGAGAAGAAATCGTAGTTTAAACATAGCTCAATTGGGCGTGCATGTCATCGTCTTTTTGTTGCTACACATACTACTTAACAAGGACGGGTGCGTCGCGTACCATACTTGTAAGCGGTTCCCACGAGTCTTCGATATCTTGCAAACACGCGCCAGAGATTTAGAAGCTCCCACTGTTTTTGGTCACAGTATTGTATCGGTGGTCTGAGATCTGCTCATCCCCAACACAATGCCTTTCTTGACTACGTGATTCAGTATTTCACTGTAACGTTTATGCTGGCGACTTGAAAGAATTTGAGCTTAAGCCATAGACATCGAACACTTCGTCTGTTTTCAGATGCTCGATCATAAATGCGTGCATCAGTCGCTCGTTCGGCCCAACCCAGCTTAGCATTAGCTTGTGGCGACGAAGTCGGTCAAGGGCTCGAGATTACAGCACAAAATCTCCAACGCTAAAGTCTTCAATCATGCTCTTTTCTTACTGTCGGCTGCTTCTTCATAAATTATGGTAGACTCTTTCCCATTGCTTCGACCTCATCTTTAACTGCAGCTGAATCATTGCGCATCAATTTGTCTTTCGTCTGCACGATTCGCGGAAGCAGAGCCGTATCCAGTGGGGTCCGTACTTGCAAGCCGGTAAGCAATTAATCGACAAACTCAACGACCGGTTTGCTGGCATTCGTCGGTTCTTTGTGTCGTTTATTCGCTTTTAACGCTGCTTCCTTGTTGGACTAGCTAGCTACTGGGCACGTTTCTACCCAATATTTTCCATTGCATACGAGTCAGCCATTGCGCAGCGGTGCGCAAGGCTTCTCCGCCTCCTACTTCACTTGCTTGGGCTAAAACTTGTCTGCTGAAGTCTTCTGCCGATACTCGTCGCGAGGTTACATAGCTAAGACTGGCTTTTGAGTGGAAAAATTGCTGGTATTTGAATGGCCATGCGTCTTGTGCACCCTCTTGACTTTCTGCGTAAGCATGTGATTATGCTGCTGCTTGCTGTCACGCTCTACAACAGCTTCACATAGCGCGATGTCATTTTAAAGCCAGGTTCCGCAATGACAAGGCGTTCCATTTCGAGCCTTAACATCACGGAGGAACATACTACAGCAACATCTTGCAGCGCAGACTCATGCGCTCTGCGTACATCATCAATCAATTGTCACCTTGTGAGATTTCCGTCGTGAATATGTCCATGCTGTATGGCAAGTCCACTCTGCATCACACAACCCGTTCTACAATTTGCTTTAACAGCACTAAGCAATCGTCATGTGTCAAGCGGTAGCTATAAATTTGACTCTTTATTTTGCTTCCCGTCGTGGGAGCAGGCACTTCTCATGGCAAGTCTGTCCTGCATCACGTACCTCATACTGCAATTTTCTCCGTCTGCACAAAGCAATCGTCATCTTGTGAGATTCCCGTCGTGAGTGCGGCTCACTGTATGGCGGGTCGGGCTTTGCTCAAGGAAGGAAAACCGGAGAAGTTTGTTTTTTCAATATCTAAATTGAGAGATGTACCCATGGGCGACTTTGCTCAGCATTAGGACGTCGAATGGAATTGCGGTTGAGTCCGATGGCCGACGACGGCAAGTGTCCAGTGTCCATTGGTGGAAAGCGGAACCTCTATCTGGGCAGAGGCGGCCGCGGAAGAACCGCACGTGTTACTCACTCAAGTCCAATTCTTTGGGTTTCTCGGTAAACTCATCAACTCTCTCCTAGAATCAGTCATCGTTCAGTGGACAGAGAAATGGCGGAGGGATTGTCTGCAGGACTGCATAGCGCGTTATCAGACAAATTGTACGTCTAAAGCGACGCGGGCTTGGCTCAATCAGTGGATGCAACATATCATAATTCTGAAAGGACGGAAGGCCGCCGGGAATCGCGGGTATAACACCGACTTTTGGAAATGCATCCTTGTCAAGAAATATGAAAATGACGATCTTTTTCGGCTTTGCGACCGATTCGGCGGGTAAAACGGAGTCATCACATTTTGTGCGCTCATCTGTATCATGCTGAAAGTGGAGAGCTTTTATCGATGACTGACTGACCCGGGGGTTAGCTCCCGGCCAGTCATGGAGGCTCATGTTCAGCTCCTGAAACGGGATGCGCAATATAAATATTGTTACAATGGGGGCGGGACACAGGCTAATTGGGTCAGTAGGGCTCTTTTTTTAATTTAGCCTTCGAGAAGCCAATGATAAAATCGACGGCGCTGACTACTAAGGGCAGCCCTCAGATTACGGCTCGGTCATCGCTCCCAACTTTAAGCGGATATAGAGCCGAGGCGTACGGTCTACACATCTAAAATCGACTGATGTTCCACCTATCTCAATTGCATTCTCGGCGGGAATTTTCAACAGCTACGACTCAACGGATAGTTACGCAAAATTTACGCGATTTTTCTTGCAAATTTTGTCCAACATGGTTGGCAGCATGGCGGAATGCGCCACGCAGAGCGCGACCGGATATTTGGTGTCTACAAGAAACCTACGTCACTTCTCAGGATGAAGCGGATGCAGTAAATCGTGAGTGGAGACGGCTTTGAGGACAGTCCATGGTTGAATCAGCGTCGCCTTTTTCTTACTGGAGTCTGGGGACGCGCCACGACGGCGGGGTAGCTTTTCTTCTAACTCCGGCCCATGGCCCAGTCGGCACAACCATGGCCTGGCCTCCTGCCCACACCGAGGCAAATTGCGTTATCTATTCAGGACAATTTTCTGCTCGTTAACGTTTACGCACCCAAATTACGGGCGCAAAGGGAATTGTTATTCGAGGGGCTGGAAGAGCTGCAGCGGTCCCCCCTCCCCAGTTATTCTAACCGGAGACTGTAACTGAGAGTCCAACATCCCTCGATCGACCGGCTGGGGATACGCTCGGCTAGTCGCACTGAAAGTCCAGCTTTGAATTCTTTCACTGACATGTGTCAGCTAGTCGACGCGCTGGATTTAGCTCCTCACCCGGACGACGACGACCTAAGGTGGGAGCCATCAACCCACTTCACGTATTGAGCGGGGTCAGCTGCCAGCAGAATCGATCGTTTCTACGTATCTTACACATGGGGAGACAGAGTGCAATGATTTGACGCAATTATCCTCCCCGTCAGCTTTGGATCACTAGCAAGTTGCCTTGCATATCTCTTCTGGAAAACGGGGATGGCAATTTCATTCCGGTAAAGTTGCGTACCCTATACGTTGTGCAAACCCGGACGGCACCGTCGCCGAACTCATCGATTACATCACAGACAATGGCATTATTGAGTTATCCACGGTCTTGACCTGGGACCACGGCTTCCGCCGCGCTCGCCGGGGAATCACAACTATCACCCGCAGGATGAGGCAACGACAGCCACGGTACATCGCAAAGCTGCGACGGCAAGCGCGACGGCCATTGCTTACCAGACAGGCCTGGCATAACGCCCAAACCGAGGATCAACAGGAGTCCCACATCAGCCGTATTGGCTTAATTCTCCAACGTACAACGGACAAACTTCGAGCGAAGTTCAAACGAGTGTCGGACTGGGAGCGCGGTCAAAGTGTTACATCCATTAGGAGACTCCACGGTAACCTGTTTCCAGTCAGTTGTAGCGTCGCAGACAAGTTAAGTTCGGGGCTGAAGACGAGCCACCGTACAGTTCCACACAGAACTGCGCCCGGTTTTGCAGCAATTTGTCACTATCGGAGAAGAGGTCTTACTCGCAATACGGGCTCTCAGTAGGCATAAAGCCTCCGACACCGACGGCTTAGGGAATGATTTTTACAAGTGTCTGCAATCGCTGTTGGTACCACCGCTCGTGAAATAGCTAATGAGATCATCCACGGTGCACAACCACCTAAGTCGTTTATGGAGGTGCTCATTATCCCGCAACGGAAGAAAGGGAATTCTGACGACGCAACGGACTATAGACCAGTTTCCTTGTTGCAAACGGGATACAAGGTAATTGCGAAGGTCTTGGCGACGCGTATGCAGAAGTGTCTGCCCCATGCCATCGGTTCTTCTCAACAAGGCTTTATTCACGGACGACACATGCAAAAGTCGGTGTCAATGATGCTCGCTCACCCAAAGAGCACGTGAGGAGAGTACTTTGAGCGCCTACGCCATCCGTGCCATCGTCTTACTGGATTTTTGAAAGGCCTACGATACGGTCGACCGCGACTTCATGATAGAGGCGCTCCGACTATTTGGGTTTGACGATAATTTTCTCGCGCTCATTGACAGGCTTCATACCAATACGACCGCACGATTTTCGGTCACTGGTGAGCTTTCTTCACTTCGAACGGTGCGGTCGGGCATTAGGCAAGGCTGTCCTCTCGCTCCTTTTCTTTTCCTGGTGGTAGTCAAGGTGCTGGCCGTTGCAATACAAACGTCGCCCCATCTTCACGTACTCACGCTTTCAGGAGAACAAACACAGACCCATATATTTTCGAAGTTTGTCGTCGACTCTACACTGTTTCTCCAATCAGCCAGTCTCCTACGACCGGCTATGGACATCGTTTTGGAGTTTGGACGGCTTTCGTGGTTACAAGTGCAACCGACAAAAAGCCAAATCATATTTTCAAACACGGCTATCCGTCAACTCGCGTATCAGGGATTGCAGTGGTTGCTCCGTCAACAACTACGAGGTATCTCGGCTATCAAGTGGGTACAGGAAACTTACGCAACACTAATTGGGCTCTCCGCATCAAAAATGCACAGCGCCGCCTCCCCACTGCAACGCGGGTATCGACGACCCTGAGGACCGCGTTCTTATCCTTGCGATAGTTCTACCCGGGATTTTGTTTACGGTTGCGGTCTTCGAGCCCCCCAGTTGGGCGCTCAAATAGCGGAACCATCTTTACAAACAATTCCTGTAGAAGACGTCCAACAGGATCGAGCCCGGGAGACACAAAGTCGCTCCAGGCCTCCTTTATACCCCCGTAAGGCAGGCGGCATTGGCCTCGTTTCGGTCCCCGTCGTCATCAAAACCCAGCGGGTGAAACACGCGCTACTGGCACTCACTCGGCCGGAGGATGGTTACTTCTCAGCGTGGGTGTCCTCGATTACGCATGGTGCACACATCACGGCCATCAGTCCGCATCGACTGAGCGTAAACACGTTGTATCACCGTCTTCCGCGCGGTATCCTGATGTACTTCATGAGCTTGGATGCACGTTACGTCAACACCCGCGCAAACGGAGGACATCCTTGCACGAGTACAGGACCATCTACCGACCCTTCGGTCATCATCGACCAGATGGTGGGAAGAAAAAGACTGGGTGCTGCATCTCTCTGTACCCCTTCCCGGTCGGCCTCAGCCAGTCGAGTTTTGGCCCCAGGAGATTGCAGGCTTCTGGCAGACTTTCCAGTGGAGTGGAAACTCTTGGATTCTGACACCACAGGCGTCGGCGCTAACCCAGTCCAAGCATGACAAAATTTGCGATGTCTCCTTTGAACAACTCCATATATCCAGCGGACAGGACCCCAGGGATACGTCTTCGGCGGCATTTGCACGGACCTCCTCGCCCCCCGCCATTCCCATGCAAAACTTCAAGAATGGGCGATCATCGTCTTGCTTTCGTCGCCGTCCCTTGGCGTCAGAAATCCGGTGGGGTGCCCGGCCCCGCTCCGGCTGCGGCGTCAAGGGACGGCGACGGAAGTAAGCCCCCTTTCACACAAGTCACCGCATGGGTGCAGGTCGGGCCGGACAGGGTTCGGGGCACTTCGCTCTCTGCCAACAGTAGTCACCTTCAGAGTTGGGAGCTTACTCAATACCACAATGGTCTCACGTGGATGTTCGACGGAGAACCGCCGCCGGTCCAGAGGAAAACGCAGGAATTCATTCAACTCGCGGAGCGCAAGCTCATCCGGACTGGGTTCGTCTTTGTTTCCGATCCACAGGTCCACCACTATCCATGGTCTGCTCCGCCAATAGTTCCCAATCGCCGCGTCTTCTCGTTCCTGAAACGGCAAGCTTTTAAGTCGTCTAAGCGGTGTCTTGCAACACCGCTGAAGCAGGTCATTGATCGACTAGGATCCAAGAGCCAGCAACCGCGATGGCAACGAGCAGCTCTCGATGTATTGCCGGGTCATCAATGGGGTCACGGATACGCGGTGACGGAATATCAGCTCTGGACACGGTACCGCCACGCTACCGGTCAGCTAAACTTTTGGTATAAGGACCTCCCCGATCCTATCATAAGGGGATCTACAGATCCGGACGGGACTTGCACGTATCGAGAATGTGTCAGACCGAAGAAGATCCAGGAGCAACTCTTCTGGGATGTCCCCGTGCTCAGCACTTTGGGCCCGGCTCATCAGTCATTGGGAAAGCACACCTTGTAAGCCTTACCACCTACTGGAATGGCTCGAGCACTGCGCAAACCGTAGCGTACCCCGCCTATCACCGCGGGTCACAGCAATGCTGGTAGCCCGCTACCCCGACGACATCGATCAATTCGCCACGGCCTGGTAGACGATATGGGAGGTCGCAGGGACCGTCGTCATCACAATGCTCTAGCAACACCGCGTGGACTGCGTTTTTCGCAATGCGGATATCCCAATGCAAGCCAGTGAAGCCTTGATTTGGGGCAGGATTCAGCTCTAACTGCGGGCGCTCATTAAACGCCTCCATTGCAAGGCTGACACGGCCGTGCGAGGTGCCCAACTTTCTGCATGTTTCGACCTATTTATATCAGAACCGAGAATTAGCAGCCCGGCCTTCATAGCCGCAATGTCTGGACCCTCCAGCGTAGCTAGTGAGTGTGGTGAACTACCTACCAGAGATCTTGCACTAACCAGTAAATAGACAATCTGTTCTCTCTCTACCAGGCTGCTGACCAGAAACTGGTTGCATGGAAATGCCAGTACCTCCAGACCCTCGTCCTTGTACTTTCGATACAGCTGCTGCAGCTGTGGGTAGTTTGTCGACACGATGACGGCCAAAACAACCTGGCCTCGTTCTCTCTAAGCGACTTTATGCGACGTCCGACTCGAAACTAATAAGCTTGTTTTGGTTATCGTCCACAACGTAAATTGGATCTTGACACCTTAAGAGGTTGCCATTAATCCCGCTTTCTTGCGATAAGGAGTGTCAGCTTGACTAGCTCCTTCCTTGCCATTCCAGACCGATGTCATCGCTCTATCTGCGAGTCCATTGTCTACTCCTAGGAAGCCGGAGGAGGTCGCAAAAGACACGCTATTATTTCCTTCAGATGACAGTAAATGGTCACGAATTTGCGTTACTTCAGGTTGGAAGCACTTGGAAGTGTCAAACACACAACCTTAAGCTTTCGACATGGACAACAGTCTATTACTGTCAGATATGCAGGCATGTACGTAAGATAACAGTTGCTGTATATGCAAAGACAACTTGAAAATGAAATCAATTTATATTCATTGTTCTCACACTACGTAAACCTCATTCTTTGTAAAAATTGTTGGTTCCCTTCGGTCGGAATTGATCCCGCGGTCTTTCCTTTTCTCTCGCGGTCCAAACACTCGCCATCAATCCGAAAAGAATATCCAGTGCAGTGTTTGGAGGGTCCACGTAGCAACACATAGTTTAATCTGTGACTTGTCACACCTTGCGTCCTCATGCTCCCGGCTTCTTCGCCGTTACACATTAGTTTCCGTCTGCTTTGTTTTTTCTGATTCATTTTCTTGGCTTTTTCATCGCATCCATTCCAACACAAGCTGCAAACAATCACATATTTCCCGTTACCGGTGAGTTTGCCTACAATCGGCTCCCCCACCTCAAGCCCGTATTTTGGGCCCGAGTATGGGTATATGACTTGCAACGGAATAAGTCACCCCGCGCACCATTCCATAAGTCGATGACGACGCGTGCACTACCTGGGAGCCCGCGTAATCTGCCACGCCGGTTATGACACCAAAAACTGTTGCAGGCACTGCTATCACCTTGTGCGCTGTGTAACTAGTGGCTCGAACCGCCGTGCTGCCCGTCTTGCGGGCCACGGTAGACACCCCGCGCACGGCTTTGTTCTTGGTTCGAACTGCCAATTGCTGGCCCTCGTACAGCTTTGTAAAAGCCACCGAGATCGTAGCATCCACCTTGTTATCCATAGAGTCAAGCATTGGAACCATCAATGACTGATCAACATCGTACAACGTCTTGCCCATGACTGTGGCTAACACCGTATTGACTGTCCCTTCACCCAAGCGAGCAAATGGTTTGACAATGCGAAAACTCGTCGTGTAGTCGTAAACGCTCTTGGTCGCGTCATAATAGTATGAAGCGCGCATGAACCACGGGCGATGAGTCTCAGCAGGTGCCAACGACGTCGACTCTCGTTTCGAGTCCGACCAATCAGCGCTAATGGTGAGATGCATCGTATTCGCCGATGAAGCCGTACCTGACGTAAAATCCAACGTCTTGTTTCGAAAGCCATTCATAAACTCGTGCAGTTTCAGTTTTGCTGACGTAATCGGCATAGTCTGACCTTGTCGAAGTACTTCAATCGTAACTTCTTCAGACTCATTCTTGGCGTGCACATCACTGTCATCATCAATTTTGATTACGTAGCAGTAACAACACAACAAAGGTTAGAAACAAGCCATACATACATACATACATACATATACCTCCCATATCGCAATACTGAACGTACAAGTGCAGGGTTTCCTCGATATCTTGACCCGTCGACATGTATGTAGTATGGCGCTCATCATCATCCACTTCCAATCGAATGCTGTACTTGTTTCCTGATCCCCCATCGTCTTCAAGTCGATGAACTAACAAATGGACATAAGAACAACGACGTGTCAATTCAACTAGCTAACATAAAGTACCAGATTGCCATGGGGCCGCACCTTTCACAGCGAGTGTCCCGGACACCGCCATCGTACTTCTTTGTCCGCTTTGTACTTACTTGACCAAATTGGAAATGAATCTCACTGGTAGAAAGAAACCTTTGTAAAACTTCAGATCATTATTAGAGCGGAACTTTCCGGTTATTTGCACACCCTCTCGCTCATGGTAGATGGGCACACGTCGCGTCTCTTCTCCACTTTTTTTCCTTGACAAATTTATACCACAGAAAAACATCGCTTGACCTAGACTTGCCCCAGTAGTGGGACTGCTATGTGGCCTACAAACGGGTTCCAAGCCTTCAAGGTGAGCTTCTTGACTGTAAAGCTGTCTCACAATCACGTCTCAGTAGCAAATAAAAAGGCAAATCACAAATTTTCGCCGTTGAGGCGGTGGGACCACGAAACGTCTCTACGACCCTTTCTGACATGGAAATTTGACACGTAACGAGACGTCGGCGCGTCATTTGGCCACTTGTCACCTATCTAGCCACCTGTTCAAATCGTATACTTTACGCTGTACTTACAAACTCACAGATATGTGAACACTTACACAAAGATCACGTCAGTTTCCTCGTCAAGCCGGAGAAAGATCGCACGAACTCTGTGAAAGATCCAGAAAGGAAGCGTCGGTGGCAGAGTCAGTTTGGCTATTCAACACGTGCAAAACGCCTTTACAATATTTCGAACAAGCGTCATCCATGTTCAGTGTTGGCGGTAGGTACACGTCTGCGTACATTGCAGCCTGCATGGCCAGGTGCAGTTGCTCGGCCCGGCGTTGGCCGTTGCCTGCTTCATGAAATTTTACTACCGCCCGATCTGGATGCCTGACGGTTAGGTCCAGTCAGTCCCAGCAGCAATGGCTCAGCAACGCTTGGTCTGCTGAGCTCAGCTGCCGTACTGGATATGGATCAGGAGCGACGGTTGCTAGCCAAGTGGGTTCGGCAACGACCATTGCCGTGATTCAGCCGGAAGGTCTTGAAGCAAAGAGATGACGGAGTTTGATTAGCTTTTCATCTCGCAGTGCTTTTGCAAGGGTGGACCTCGATACGGGGTCCATCAAGGGCGGACTGCCGTCACAATTACGGAGGCCATTGTTCACGGCATTTCCTGTCATGTTGAAGTCTCTACGTGCTACAAATCTAGCGGTACTTGATAGTTGTATGCTGACTAGTCATCTTTACGCAATCGTTACCTTGATTGATTTGTACTCTACATGGCAACTTGTGCTGGCTTTACGCCCTGCGGTTGTCGATACAGTAAACGCATTGGATTTGAAAAATAATACAGACAGTATACCTGTATGTGAAGAGCTATTGCATAGGTGAGGCCCGAGCGCTGTCTAAAATTTACACCTGATGCGTGGACCTTTCTTCATGACACTGCGTGACGAATGGACGTGTTTACGCTTTCGAGTGGCAGAGATGTCGTGAATACTGCTCTCTCGGACAGCTGCTGCTGCCGGCAGAGCAGCCGCAGACGCGCGAGCTCGTGTCTGCAGTCGGACGTCGGTTCAGGTTAGTTGATGCAAGCTCAAACGCTGAAGTAACGTCATCAAATGAAGGCGTAGTATGCAGCTGCCACACGATGGCAGCCTCTAGAACCACGTTGTGCACCATGTCGCTGACGTGCGGGGGTGACGTGACGCATGTGGATCGTTATCTTGAGCTTAGGTTGCAGGGCCACCCGTAGTCGGCGGCGCACAAGCACTTAATGCTGTCAGATTCATTGTGAAGTCAACCCTGCTGAACACTACGACTGGCGTATGCAAAGAATCTACACTTCAGACTTGCGACCGTTGCCTTACATGGCAAATATGAAGGCAGATGACTATTTACTGCTATCGTACAGCTAATGGTGGTGGGACGTATGCGGACAACGCCCAAGCGTGTCTCGTCCTTCGTTGAGCTGATGTTGCAGGAAAAGATTGGCTATGCACTAAATGTTACGCCTTCAGTCAGAAATCTGGAAGATCACAGACATTGAAAAAGCCAGATTCGAAAGTTGAAGGACTGCTTTCTCGCGTATTCTCATTGGATAATACTACCAACTTTTTTGATTTAACAATTTCTCAAATCTTTGATTCATTTTTCAATTTAGCGCACAACGTGAACGAACACGTAAAGTAACTCGAATAATATGCCGACGTCTGGCATTCTGAAGATTAATGTACACGCCATTGAGGGCAATTTTGGTGAGACGGAGCTTGCAACGAAGAAAATGGCGGTGCGCTTTGCTGTGAATAAAGTTGAGCACATTACTAAATTCAAACCATACGACGCCATAGTCGACGAGCTAGCGACGCTTCGCATTCACGAGGCCGCGGCTGATGCAAAGTTGACCATTGAACTGTTACTTGAGAGGAATAAAAAGCCTATTGTGAGCACACAAAAGTCACTTGTTGAATTCCAGAACAACTACAAGATGCGTAAGATGACGTTTACATTTGGGCCCAAGGCGGCACCTAGCACGGTGCTACTTTCGTATGGTGTGGACTGGCAGTCGATTGAGACAACATTGGCTTCGTATGATTCACATCGACCATGGTTCATGCGTGTGTCTTACTATTACGACACTACCAAGAATGTATACAATTACACTACAAGCTTTCGTGTTGTTGCTCCATTTGCCCGCTTTGGTGAGAATACGGCTAATACAGTCGTTGAAAAGGTGAGTGGCAAGTCACTACATGATATTGACGAAGCCTGGGTAGGCCCTGGCTTTAATGCGTTGGACAACAAGGTGGATGCTACTATCTCGTCTGTGGTCACAACGTTGCACTCTGGTCAACAATATGCACTGAAGAAGAAGGAAGAGGCTGTGGGTGTTGCTTCGTCAGTCGCCAAGAAAACAACTGACACGGTGTCAGGAGCTGTAGGGGCTACGGTGCACAAGGCTGCGACCGTCAAGGACTACACTACGGAAAAAGTGGTATCGGCCTCATTGAGTGTGTACGGTACTGTGGCCAATGTGGCAAATTACACGAAGACGCAGGTGGTGCATGCTTCGTCGTCCACTTACGGCACCGTGAAAGGCGTCACTTTTACGGCGCTAAGCTACGTGCCCGTGATTGGTTCAAGGATTGCGGTGTAAGCCTATTAACAGAAACCCTGCAGTGCATGTCTAACCACGGTGGTGGAGTTGTCAACAGCTGCACTCAATTTACGTTGATGCATGCGTGTGCTGTATGAGTGCTGTCAGTAAGTAACATCGGGGCAACAGGCAGAGGAACTGTTCCTCGTTGCTAAAATGCTGGTGGTACAGAGGCTGCTCCATCAACCTTGGCACGACAGGAAGGAGGAAGCTATCAGTCGTCAATGCTGGTGTCGAAGCTTGCATATTGCATTGTGTAGCAGAGTATAAACAAACCACATAATTATTTGTCTCCAGGCACCATCTTATTCCCCTCGCCAGTCCGAGCCTTTTTCTTCTTTAGACCATCCTCGAGTGTGTCTAGAGCGCTTTCCTCATCATCTACCAATTCTGTCACACATATATATAGGTCTTCTTAGTACAGCAGCAGCTTCTGATCGATGTAGACACGAGTTATTCAATCACTTACCAATTGCTGCAGCAGCGCTCCGAAAGTCATTTAACACGTTAGAGTTAAAATCCACAGGTGACAGCCTCTTGTTCTCCCCTTTTGAAATGGAATATAACTGAAGAAACGGGTTCTTCTTGTATGACACCGCAAGCATCTCGTCCTCGGTAAATAAAATCTCACAAGGCTCATTTGCAAGCAGCAACTGCTCGTCCTCAATCGGTATCGCCATCTCTCTCATGGTCGGTATTCCCTTGTCACACTCAATCTCAAAGAATCGCACATACTGATAGTTTACTAAGACTGCCACAATGTTCGTCTTAGAGCAAATTGACAATGACACATTCAGTAAGCTCTTGGCAGCCTTGCGATCACTGTCCTCATCATTAGCTTCATCCTTGTCAGCATGTTCGATAGACACGTCCAAGCCTACAAGTAGCGTCTTCGTTGCCAACAACTTGCCCGTCGTCATATCCCAAAGCTTTAGCGTGTTGTCTATGGACGTCGAGACAACAAGTTCCGGCGTGACAGAACTACAAGCCACCTTGGTCAGACTGGCAGCATGACCCAAGCAGTAGCTCTCAATAATCGCAGCATTTGGAAACCTAGACACACGCAGCTTCTCATCACGATCGGCTGTCAAAAGCAGGGACGAGTCGTGATTGAGAGCCACGTGGGTAATCATAGACGTTGTGTGGCCTAATAGCATCTTTAGGTCGCGTGCCACATCCGGGAAGGGCACAGCCACAACTTCGCCCGTCTTCTGGCCCAAAATGACTACGTGCTTCATCTCTCCATTAGTGATCTTCAAAGTGCCCACAGTCATGCACGTGGCGCTACGAGGTACTGAACGAAGCGTTTTAAGCAGCAGCGTCTCAGCTGACAAATTCAGCTCGTAATGCACCAGTCGTCGCTCATCCACCAGCAGCAGCAGCGCCAAATGCTCACAATATTGTGGCTGAAACAACAGAATAGCTGTAATGCGATTAGATGGCGGTACTGGCTGCGTCGCTTGCTTCAGCTTGGTAGCCTTATTCTCGGCGATCTCTGGAGCTTCTGCTATGTCGCCTGCATCCTGACGCAACTCAAATTGAAGCAGTTTCTGTGTTTCTGAAGCATTAGTAGGAAGCACAAACACTGTCGTATTGCGCACTGTTACCACGACGCCTTGCGCCGACGCAACAAACACACCAGTTATTATTACCATATTGCACAATTGGCTGGTCTAAAGCAGGTGATGTAACACATGGCTACATTATAGGTACCTTTTCCGGATAACGACTCGCCCAATTTGAGTCCTATCGAAATACCGGTATTTTTCATAGTCTTTGCGTAGTCATGAGTAATAATAACCTTTAAATTCCTCAGGACCAAGCAGCAGTGATGCTCGCGAAAAGGTATTCGCCCATTCCATCTCATGTATGCTTATATTAATATTGTAATAGCATGTCCTTACATTCTATGACCAGATACTTCTCCAGATTGCATCATACAGTGTTAAAACGCTCACTAGCCATTAATCGTTCTCTAAGCTCGTTCCGAACTCATTCGTGCGGAGAGCTTCGTCAAGAGTTTCATGAAGGTCAGCGCGTGACTTTGAGTGGATGGGTGGATGCAATTCGCACGTTTGGTCCCGTATCATTTCTGTCTCTCCGTGACCGTGATGGTGTCACGCAACTTGTGTTGGAGACGGATTTTCTTCAAAAGGCGGGTCAGTGACACCTCTGCAGCTGATGGTCTCGAAAAGTACCGATAGCTCAACTGTTTCTGTTTCTACGTGTTCAATATGGCAGATGATGTGGTGTGTAATATCCGTCCTGAATCAGTCGTGCAGGCTTCAGGTGTTGTGCGAGCTCGGCCTACCAATATGCGAAACGATAAGATGGCTACAGGAGCTGTGGAAGTCGTTGTGGACGAAATGACCGAATTAAATTCGTGTGTGAGTTTGCCGATTCAAGTATCTACTGGATCTGAAGTGGCGAATGAAGACACGAGACTACGATACCGATATTTGGATTTGCGTCGTCCTGCGTTGCAGCAGAATCTCGTGGTGCGGTCGCACATTTCGTTGGCTGCACGCAACTTTTTGTGCTCCGAAGGATTTCTAGAAATTGAAACACCGACGTTGTTTAAAAGCACTCCAGAAGGCGCGCGGGAGTTTCTTGTTCCCACACGCACTGAAGGGATGTTTTACGCGCTGACGCAAAGTCCACAGCAGTACAAGCAGTTATTGATGGTTGGGGGTCTGGATAGGTACTTCCAACTCGCAAGGTGCTACCGTGACGAAGGCGGGCGTGCTGACCGTCAGCCAGAATTCACGCAGATTGATTTGGAGATGTCTTTTGTTACCCGTGAGGACATTATGCACTTGGTGGAGCGCCTGGTGAAAGAGATTTGGAAGGCGGCGGGCAAGGAGCTGCGCGATCGTCCATTTGTCCGTATGACCTTTGACGAGGCGATGCACCGCTTTGGTGTAGACAAGCCCGACACGCGTTACGGTATTGAACTTCAGGATGTCGGTGACTTGCTGGAAGGATGCGAGTTTGTTCCATTGAATACGGTGTTTGCAAAAAGCCGTTATAACAAGCGTGGGGTGATTCGCGCCATTAATGCGAAAAATCTTGCACGTAGTGCATTATCACGCAAGGAGATTAATGAGCTGGAGATGGTAGCCAAGCGTGCATCCAGCACCGCGGTCGCGTTTGTGGTGAAGGTGGAGGCTGAAAAGCAGTGGAAGTCTTCGCTGAGAAAGAAGCTGTCTGCTCTCGAAATGGATCAGCTTAACGATCGGCTTGGTGCTGAAGAGGGTGATGTTCTCATTTTTGCAGCCGGTTCGTATCGCGACGTAAACACATTGCTTGGGCGCCTGCGGACGCACACCTCACGATTGCTGTATGCGAAGGGCTATTTGCAGGCTGAACTAGATCCAGATAACTTCCATCATTTGTGGGTGATTGATTTTCCGATGTTTGAACGTAGTGAAGATGACAATGAGAACATCCCTGCAAGTGAAGATAAGATTTCACTGTCGGCGACACACCATCCCTTTACCGCCCCTCGTGCTGACCACGCAGTGCTTTTGGATGACATTTTAGCTGCAACAGCAAGAGATGACAAGAAGAGGTTGCTTGAAGACCCAGAGATTGTTGAGAAGCTGTTGGAACTCACTGCCCAGCACTACGATATTGTGTGCAACGGCTGGGAGCTGGGCGGAGGGTCCATTCGTATTCACCAAGCCAAGCTGCAACAAGCTGTATTTGAAGATGTACTAGAGCTACCGACGCTGCAGCGCCGGAGTTTTGAGCATCTGCTGCAGGCCCTGAGTCATGGCGCCCCGCCTCACGGTGGGATCGCGTTGGGTCTGGACCGCCTCGTTGCGATCTTGTGCGGAGCATCAAGTTTGCGTGACGTGATTGCGTTTCCGAAGTCGTCTACGGGCAATGAGCTAATGACTAACGCACCGGGACCCGTGCTAGTTGAACAGCTTGAAGCGTATCATATCCAAGTACATCATGATGAAAAGTAGTAGTAACTAATTACCTCTACCACCGAATACTTTGAAATAGACTAATTTTGCCACAAGTATCATACAAAACCAAGACAATTCCATGCAGTAGTTTATGTTACACAGACAGTGACTGCTCTCGATGAAAAAAGTACGTTTTTAGCCTTACTTTTTGCGCGGCTACTTCAGAAACCTAAAAATTTTGAAACCTAAACTGACCGTTGTTCATGCGGTTTGTGTAAGTAATATGGGCATGAGTGTAGATTTGGAAGATCATCGCAGGTGTGGGATTAATTCTTCCATGAAGTTCTAATCCCAAATGATGAACGTTTCAAACAGCTTTTGCTGAGATGGTCGGAACATTTATACCTTGTTACAATACCGTCCAGAAACGAACTGATTCCACCTCACTCACTATTTGTTCACGCCAACAAACTGAGCTACATCATTATTGTGCGCGAAACACGGTTATTTCTCTCTCGCGATGCCCCAAGCAGGTCGTAACATGTTGTATCCATTACCGCAAATTCTACCTAGTGACGACAGACAATATCTTCGGTGCTTGGTTGCTATACAGCTTCTTCATCATTCCGTCTTGGATCTTTCTGACCACAGAGAAGCGCTGCAAAACCGTTGCAACGTTTGAAAGCTTGGTAGTACTGGGAGACATTGACGCTCAGTATGATTTGAGCCATCGGCCATAGCGTGTTTGGAGATGGGGGTGATCATTGTCTTTTCACTGGGCAGAACAGATGTAAAGTTTCTTTGAACGGACTGCAGTGGCAATTCGCATGTCTGGTCCATAGCAGGTAATCGCTCGTCAATCGTTGACAAATTGTTGCAAGGCATTGCAGCGTTAAGATCCACGGGCGTGTTATCGAGTAATCTGGGTAAATGAGGTCGAGACAGCTTGTTTAGTTCAACCGTAAGCAGAGTCTCTACAAGATTAATGGATGGTCGGCAATGTGTAAATGCTTTGTTCGCTTGACTTGTATGGCGTGGTATCTGAGCTTTTCGATCGGACCCAACGTCACTGCGGATAGTTTGCGCGTGATATCTTACCACACGAAATCGCGAGCTACCACTGTGAGCTTGACAGTAGCTGTCGACCTGTACACGCTTGTCACACTTGATTGATAAGCATTTCCGGTAGCCACCATGACTAATACAAAGTCCGTCGTACTGCACCACCTTGTCGCAGCCTTCCACTCGACAGCGTTTACCTCCACCTGAATAGAAATGAGTTAGGACAAGAATGGATGGTGATCACAAACTATCTCTTGGTGCATTGCGTACCGTGCAAAATGCAGGCTCCTCCACTCTGCGCGCGCTTCTTGCATCCAAGAAAGCCGCATTTCTTGCCTCCGCCGTGTATCCAGCAAAAGCCTCCGCTTTGAGCACTTTTTGCGCAGGCAGGTGCTTGGCACCGCTTGCCGCCGCCATGGGCGACGCAACACCCGCGACTTACAACGCTTGTGACACACCCCTCCACCGAACACTTTTTGCCTCCTCCATGCGCAATGCAGAGTCCACCGCGCTTGGCAGTTTTCTGACACTCCGGAAATCCACATCGTCGCAAAAGGGTTTGCGAACTCACAGTGTGCATCGAAGTCGATTCAGTATAGCTGCAAATGTTCTCATCGTTATCTAAGCTCAATGGTGGGTACATGGAGATTCGCTTTTCAAACGCAACCGAAGGAGTGTGCTGTTTACTCAAGCTTATGACTGCAGCGTCACACCTCAGACACAGCTCATATAAGCGTAATCATGTCATTTATGCTGCAGCGATCCACTGAAGCGTAAGCTTGACCTTGAAAAACGTGACATGACATCTCATATCCCAGCTTGCTTTGTCTAGGAATCAGATGTGATACAGCAGTTGACATGCAGTAGCAAGGAGCTGTATAAACAGATCGATCTTTCGTATCGTTGTGACATGGTCCCGTTTCATCAAGGTGCTGCAACTATTATATTGTTTTCTTCCTTTGTAATACTACTACAACATGTAAAATAAATGCACAAGAGCTATTATGGCTTCGAGAATCGTAAGAGATGTCGCAGCTAGAGCGTATGAACATTTACAACAACATTGTTTTTTCCTTATTGTCTGTAGCACAAGTTTAGTAGTGAAAACACAAGCTTCTCGTTGTACAGAATGATATATGGATGAGATAGGACAGATATGATAGTATAGTAAAAAACCTGCAGTATCGTTCATACATCCTGTCTCACTTGCAAAAAGTAGGAATATAGTAGTATACTACAAGTAATTGAAACAGTAAGATTAATACAAGTTAGTATCATTATACATTTTTGGCTATTTTAATTAAACTTTGCCCAAAAACAATTTGAGCACAATTTTTTTGGCTTCCAAACATACCCAAAATGTCAGTATGTGACGGCTGGCATTGCCCAATATGTCTCGGCAGCTTCAAGTGCCCAGTACTGGCCTCCTGTTGCGGTCAAAGCTTCTGCCGTGCTTGTCTAGACGAAGCACTTCGTCAGTCTGACGCCTGTCCAATGTGTCGCTCGCCGCTGCTCTTGGGACCGTTTTCCGTGACCTCGAACCGAGCGCTTGAGGAGGCACTGGCTGCCTTAGCTATTGCTTCCCAAGGACGCTCTAGGATCAAGAAACAAATTGCAACAAACAGTGATGACGGTGCAAAGACGCGCTCAATTATTGTAGTGCAAAACGTCGACTTGGAAGTGCCAACTCCAGTGCCAAATTTCGTAGAAACGGGAAATAGTTTAGTGTCATTGATTCATGAAGAGAGAACGCGTTTTCAATGGGTAAATGCCTTGAGATTGTGGCGGTACGTGTTGAAACAGTTTATCATGTCCATGTTGTAGTTACAATCTGCAGTTTTGTTGTATTGTAATTAGAATACGTGACGTAACAAATTGTCGACGTGGAGCAGCAGGTGAAAGGAGATGGGAGGTGAGTGAACAGTCGGCAAAACTACGACAAAAGCTACGGCAATGGCATTTATGGTGCAGAGTGAATTGGACTTCACTCCAGTGTGTCTTCTATGTGTTTCTATTCTTTGTTCTTGTCCTCTTTCTTCGTGTGCAAGAAGAAGATTTTGCAGAGACAACCCGATATCTCCGTCGTCCGAACTAGAAGAAGAAGAATCGTACTGATGTAGACGACACTTCATTCGAATCGGAAAGGATGATTGTATATCCGTATATTGACATATCTACTTGTCAAGTGCTTTCTATTGAAGCACTTGTGCTGTTGCCGGCTCGTACCTTCATTGGCAAGCTATTTGAGATGATGTTCCAGTTAGGATGTTTTCGATGCGAGTCCTATCGATGCGCTCATAGAACTGGAGAGAAGCTTCGCTTCATTACAGACACTACGTCATTTCAATGGCCGTTGCTTTTGCTGATGCGCTTGGTTTTGAGCTAGTGCTTTGAACATGAACGTGGCTAGTCTACATCGACATAAATCCTGGATACACGTTACAGGTCTATAAGATTTGCACACAAGGATTCCAACCACGTGCTCCGTTGAACAAAGGAAAGCTGTGATTACAATGTGGTAGCTACTCAAACACGAAGCTACTTTTTGTGACTCGCAGCGTACTGTGGAAAGCCTGGATACGCTCGGACAGAACGCCGATGACGACGTTAACGGTCTTGTCTGGCGTAACCTTGTTCGGTTCAGCTTTTTTTTGAAATGAGCGTGTTTAGATAATGGCAGTGATTTTGTTTGCGTGTGCATGCAAAGCATGACGGATTTCTGGGTGTTGCAACGTCATTTGAATGAGTTATGCTACTTAGTGCCAGGTGTGAGGAAAAAGTCACGAGAAAATTGAGATCATGAATTGTGTTGAACATGAATGGCGTTGTTGACTGGCTTTATGAGCAATTCGTTACTTGTTGTCGTTATTGTCGTTTGACCTGGCTAGCGTTCTGTTTATGAGTGCAACTTCCAAGTGACAAACTATTTCTTCATGCGACTACAATAGCGTCGACAAACTTCACGCCTTAGAACACGTACTCGGACTCTATGATCGGGTCGGATCTAGGTGCCGTTTGCTTTGTTTTGCTATACTTGATCGTGACGACCTTCTTTTCAACTGCTGCAATGCGTGCGGCTTCAGCAATGATGGTATTCATACGCGACGCACCCCAGTGCACACGAGGGTTGGCGTTGCCCCTTACAACTTCGATAAAACTATCGAGCTCAAGCAAATACGCCTCGGAAAATCTCTCCGGGAACGAGTGTCGCAATGTATCAGCAGTAATCCCAGTCTTGGTGGACTGCACCATGGCAGTCTTGCTCAGGTTCTGCACTTGTATCATGCCATGCTCACCCGCTACTTCAATACGCTGATCGTAGCCGTACTTGGCACTCCGACTAAGATCCATGGTGCAAACTACGCCAGACTTGGCAAATTCTAGCCATACACTAGCTTTATCCATCACATTGAGCTCTCTCAATTCTGCCGACAAACTTGTTCCATGTGCGTAGACTTTGGCCGGGTATTCACCGACAAGATCGCATACATAGTCAATATCGTGTACAGCAAGGTCATGAAACGGGTCACCTCCTGTCTTCAGAAACTCTACAGGTGGACACGGATGGTCACGAAACACTGTATGAATGGATTGGAGCTTACCCAAGCTCTTATCGTCGACACATTGAACCCGTAAAGCTTCGTAGCTTGGATCGAATCTCCTTTGAAAGGAACAAAAGAGTTTAACGTCGTTCTGGTGGCAAATTTGATACGCCGTATCAATATCATTGATCGAAGCAGCAACTGGTTTTTCAATCCCAATAGCTTTCACCTGAGAGCCCAATAATCCTGTTACACAGCCAATAACAAGCTCCAAGTGCGTAGGTGTGGGCGTCGAGATCCAGACACCGTCTATGATCATATTTTTTTTCTTCAGAGCATCACCAGCTTCCTCAAGACTTGAAAAACAATTAACATTGTATTGATTACTTAATTCTTCCAATTTTCCAGTAGTAGCATTTGAATCAATGACAGCAGCAATGGAAACACGGGGATCATTTTGCATTCCAGTAAGACGAATGCGTCCCATACGTCCTGTACCTACTACAGCAAATTGAAGTCGTTTATTATTATTATTATGGTTTAATCCCGTTGAAAAGCTTTGTAATCGACGACAAGAAGCAAAAGAACGAGATAAAGAGCGAGGTGTACGAAATAAGAGCATTTTTAAGGACGAGGTAAATACAAAAATGACAGTAGAAGAGGTTGAAGCAAGTGTAATATACATAAATACCATTATGGTAGTTTTAAGCCCAATGAGAGATAAGAGCAGAGTTACAATGGACGAGTATCCAATTGGTTTAAATTCCATCATCTCTCCACCAGTCAAGCCAGTAGAATGCTACATAGATACATCTCGTTGGTGTCATCACGTAGACGATGCTCTGCTTTACGACACGTCCATTGGCTGGCAACTAGTAGTCAACATGTATGCAGTACTGTGCGTGCATTTGCATCCTCCCCCCTCCTCTTCTTCATCATCATCTGGTTCTTCTAATGCTGGTGGTGGTGTTCCTGGTGACTTTGTGTGTCATTTAAAAGATGTTGGCGTGAGGATTCCAGGAGGCAAGAAACTCTTTGAACGAGTGAGTTTAGGCTTTCTACATGGTGCAAAGATTGGTGTCTTGGGTGCTAATGGAAGTGGAAAGTCTACGTTACTTAAGATCATTGCCGGTGTGTACAGTGACTTTGATGGCGAACGATGGGTTAAAGATGCATTGAAAGTTGGTTATTTGCCACAAGAACCACAGTTAGACCCAAGCAAAAACGTATATGAAAACATTATGGACGGATTGAAGGAAAGCCAAGCGTTGTTGACCAAGTTTGATGAGGTGTCCATGGCTATGGGTGAGCCAGACGCTGATTTTGATGTTCTTTTGGAAGAGCAGGCCAAACTGCAAGATCAGATCGAGTATTTAGGCTGCTGGGACTTGAGTCATGAAGTGGAGAAATCTATGGCTGCATTGAGAGTACCTGCTGCAGATGCAGATGTTGAGGTACTGTCGGGAGGTGAACGACGTCGTGTGGCGCTGTGCAGACTATTACTGGAGAAGCCGGATATGCTACTGCTCGACGAGCCCACAAATCACTTGGATGCCGAGTCAGTACATTGGTTGGAAGGCTTTTTGAAAAATTATCGCGGCACAGTGCTGTCCATTACCCACGACCGCTACTTTTTGGACAATGTTGCTGGTTGGGTCTTGGAGCTGGACAGAGGAGAGACGTACGCGTATGAAGGTAACTACACAAAGTGGCTTACCCAGCGTCGTAACCGCTTCAATATGCAGCGAAAGAGCGACGCGATCCGTGCAAAGCAAATTGCGTCCGAGATTGCATGGTCTCGTGATCATCAGGGAAGTAAAAAGGCGAACAAGGCGCGTTTGAAGAAATTGCAGGAAATGGAGTCTACTGGATTTCGTGCGTCGTCACGGGTCGAGGAGGGACAGATCGTGGTGCCGTCAGGTGTTCGGTTGGGTAATAAGGTCATTAAGGTAAACAATTTGTGCAAAAAGCTAGATGATGGACGTGTACTCTTTGACAAGCTTTCGTTCGAGATCCCACCCCATGCGATTGTGGGCGTTGTGGGAGGCAACGGAATGGGCAAGTCTACGCTATTTAACGTTATTGCTGGCATTGAGGATCCTGATGGAGGCAGTGTGGAGTTGGGTGCGACTGTAAGCTTGGGTTTTGTGAGTCAGAGCCGCGACGAACTGAGTAGCAGACGATCGGTTTACGAGGAGATTTCGGGTGACAATGAGTTTGTGGAGATCGGTGGAGATCGCATTAATACACGTGCTTACATAGCGAGTTTTAACTTACGCGGTGGCATGCAAGAAAAGAAGGTCGGCTCTCTCAGTGGTGGTGAGCGCAACCGTGTTCACCTCGCCAAAATGCTGTTGGGTGGCCACAACGTGGTGATGCTTGACGAGCCGACGAACGATCTTGATGTTGACACGCTGCGTTCGCTTGAGGCTGCACTTACGGACTTTGACGGCGTATCCATGGTGATTTCTCACGACCGATGGTTCTTGGACCGCATTTGCTCCCACATTATCGCGTTTGAGGGCAATGGTTGCGTGACATTCTTTGACGGCAACTACAGTGAGTACGAGAGAGAGCGCAAATCGTAGTGGAAACAAAGGCGACTTTCATTAAGGCCACCTGTGTGATACATACATTTAGCTACACCTACTGGTTGGCATGACGATCCAACATGGACCAGGCTAAGCTATCGATGACACACAAAAGATTCGCAATAGTTTCATCATGAGCCAAGCACCAGGTTGTGAGGACACTCATTCCTTCCAACCTCATGGGATCACTGTTTGATGCTTGAACAAAGTAGCACTAGCCAAGATCCCTTTAGCAGCTTATACGTCAAGTGTTTTGTCTTACATACATGTATATCGCCAACAACTCGCATTATAAGAATTGCAGTCTGGTACTTAGGTTGACGCTTGGACGTGCCATTTACTCGCTCCTTCTGGCAAGCTCCTTCAACAACTCACCTGTTGAAAGCGTCTCTAACTCGACTTCAGGCACATTGAGCCAGTCCACGGGGTTCTTCAGCACCTCAACAGTCTTTTCTTCCCATGATCCAGAATCAGGCTGGTGCATATATTCCCAACGCGCCGTTAAAGGAAGTGATATGAGGATCGACTCGACACGTGAGCCAGGGGTCAACAAACCAAATTTGGTGCCTCGATCGTACATGATATTGAACTCGACGTAGCGGCCACGACGCATTTGCTGCCACTCCTTCTGCTGTTTCGTAAATGGCAAGTCCTTGCGCTTTTTGAGAATTGGAACGTACGCATCGAGCATCGAGTTCGCACAATTGCGAACCATCTGAAAGTTCTCTTCCGACGTATCAGTAAGGTCATCAAAAAAGATGCCACCAATTCCACGACCTTCTTGACGATGAGGGATGTAAAAATACTCATCACACGCTTTTTTCCACTTTGGGTAAATGTCCGGATCCCGTTTATCCAGTTGCGTCTTGTACACGGCATGAAAATGGCGCGCATCTTCCTCAAAGAGATAACTCGGTGTTAAATCAGCTCCTCCACCAAACCAGCCAAGTTTCTTAGGTTGACCATTCTTGTTAAAATATCCCGTCTCTACCTCAAAGTAGCGATAGTTTAAGTGAATGGTAGGAGCCATTGGATTATGTGGATGCATGACTAAACTCACTCCACAAGCATAAAATGGTATCTCCTGTCCCTCTTTCAGATCTTTTCCTCTTGCTGTCATTTGCTTTACTGCAGCAGGTGGTAGTTTACCATGAATAATCGATACACCAACACCAGCTTTTTCAAACACATTGCCATCTTGTAGAATACGAGTACGACCACCACCGCCGTGTCCTTGTCGTTCCCATTTATCCTCACGAAACATCTTACCATCCACAGCTTCAATACCGGCACAAATCTCATCCTGTACACGAAGAATTAATGCCTCCATACGTTTTGGCATTGGTGCATTCGTATTAAACTCAATGCTATTTTTCAATGTCTTATCTTCAGACAAAGGTTGATACAAGAATGCAGATGTAGGGACCAAACCTTTGCATCGACTTGATTCTTCTTTATAAGAATAGTATACAATACCAAACGTAGTAGTAGGTATCATAGCTGCAACCATCCAAGGCCGTGAGGGTCTCAATAACGTGCCAATAGAACGCATGAGATCAAATAGAGTCTTACTATTATAATGAAGGAAGATGAACAAATCGTAAACTGAATCTAATGGTTATCAGCAAATGTAGTTGAAAAAAATATACACTTATACAGTGCTGTGAGAGCGAGATTTCGATGCGCTATTTACTGTTTTGTACCAGATTCCTGGTATATCTGTACCTAAGATAAAAATACCGTCGTTAAAAAGAGGCGCAGCTTTCTATCGAGTCACTCCTTATAGGATTTGTAGACTATAGCAGTGAGTAGGTGAAGATCTTGATGCACGCGTAATGTAGAACTGCGGATGACAGCGTCTAGCTTTGAGTTGCCGAATGGCCTCAGTTTGGTTGACAAGTGCCCATTTCTATGCCGTCATCCGTTTGTCGCAGTACGCGCGTATTGATACAAAAAGTAGTGGAACGTAACGGAAGCGCCTCGCATACCTTTTCATTGTTTTGGACCCCATAGCCACAGTACACACAATATGCAGAACAACAGCCATACTCAAGAATTTAGGAGTCGGAGTGGAATAGTCGCAAAGGAAAACAATTTACCACATGTCGTGTGACAGAAGACGCGTTGAAAGAAAAGCATCAACCTAGTGGGGGGAGGCTGACACCCATAAGTCGATCGGCTAAACTCTCTCCGATCAAGGTCGGAATCATGAAGCGGTAGTCAACTGGACACGAAGATAGGCCATTATATGAACATAACAGTTCTGCCGGTCATGACGCTATCTACAACTACCTTCAAGTTTGCATGTCGCGACACTAACTATTTTTAACAGATCTACGTCCTCTTCAATTGACGTTTGTTGAGCTGTAAGGATTCAGCTTTATTTGGATTCTGTAATCATAAAACATCTCGTGTTGCTCCAATCGTCCAACTCTTTCGCGCTATCAGCTTTCATTCATCATACATGGCATTGACAATTTACTCAGCTTCCTCGTCGTTCCGACGTCTTTTAAGAGCGTGATCTTGCCGACACAATGAACACGCTTGATACAGAGGTTCGTGGTCACAACTAGCAAAAGGAGCGTCCAACATTGAGCCTAATTAGCAGCAAAGCCACCAAATCTTCAGGATATCACTCGTCGTATATAGGAAGAGGCGGGAGGCTTGATTTGTCCGCACATGTGTGCTCCCAACATTGCAAGGGAAGGCTGCACTTTGCAAAATTCCAGTGAGGATTGTGACCAATACGCTTGAGCAAACGGACAGCTTCGAAATAGGTTCTCGAGCGTTTTCACTCGATGACGTAACAGAGGCACGGATTTTCGTAGAGGGGGCACCCGTGTATGAGAAGTGTAGCTGGTGCGTCACAATCCGATATGCATTCCAAACTTGATGATCCGTGAGGTGATGCAGATGATCCCAAAGGGTCCGGGTCTTGGTCCATGAGACCGTGCAGCCAGCTATTCGCTGCCTTCGCTTTCAAAACAGTGAGTGATCGGGACCAAAATTTTGTAATGGGCGCACGCCAAACTTTTAAGTTCGACCACATTGTCAACACTGCTTGACAACGTGAAACAGGCGACGCGCACAAGACACAGGACTTGTGCGTTTGATGGAGCATTTATTAAATAGATTTTAAATGCCAGCAAAAACTTGAAGGTTTGTCAGCAGCAGCAACTTATTGGACCTTATCGGGTCGATACATTCCTTGCAACGGCTTGCTGCATTACGCAGCTTTGCTGGCGACACACCCGTGTCGTCATTCCCGCCTGAAATGGTCTGCGTGTGCGATCATATACGAGTATCACGATGCGCCGACAAGTCGGCAGTATGGCTTATCTCAGGTCAAAATTGTTATGCTGGCCCCAACAGTGTCAGTACGCAAGTACGTGCGTGCTTGCAATTTGTATCAGCGGGTGAAGCCTAGCCTTTCACGCCGTGCCCCGGTGCAGCCTCTACCGGTTCCGACAGATTGCTGGCAGTCCGTGTCATAATGTGGCTGGCGCCACACAGCTGGCAGATAGGATCTGGGAGCGGAAAGCGTCGTAACAACCCGCGACCAGTACTTTGTGCAATCAAGCGCTTGGCGGAGCTATGGCGAGTTCTCACCCAAGGCTCTGTAGGATAGGCGGTATCTAGGCAATCGTCCAGGATATCATTTTAACATACTTGATAAAGGTATAGAAAGTCGTAAGAATAGTTGGAAATGATGAAAAACAGGAAAACCACAGAACTAAGTGGTGAGCTCTAGGACATGAATGTTAGTTATGTGGCACTATTACTTTATAATACACCTCGTGTCTCTCGAATCCTTACAACTGGTGGCACTTGTTGGTCTAGCCGCCTTCAACACCGTCACCGCTGTCTTTGCCGTCCCCGCCGCTGCCTTTGCCGCCGCTGCTATGCCGTCGTCGCCGTCTCGGGCGAAGCAGTGATTGAAGTTTATAAGTCCCATTTTGCTTTGTGAGCAGACGTTTGCTTTCATTGGCTATATTTCCAACCAGAATAATAAAATTATACCTTTTACGGAGCCGTTGTCATTTTTTTTGGCTATAACTCGTCTTGTTTGGTATTAGGTTAATTGGTTATCTATGAGTTAAGCACTTTGTTTCATAGAATGAAACTCACGCAATACTACTTCTAGACACACAGCAAAAAAGGCTCAATGAGCACCTGTTGGTAGCCAATCCGGACAAAGCTGACCGTTGCCGTCAAGATCTGCTTGACCCCATTTGTCGGTCCGGCCGCATTTTTTGCGCGTTCGGGAAACATCTGAATTTTTGGTGCGACGTTTCGACTCACGTAAGGCCTTAAAAGCGCGATAGTAGAGCACAGTAGCCAATTACTAAGCTGAAAGTCTCGTAGACATTCGAATCTACAGGGGAATTCGGAAGTTTCAGCCCGAAAACAAGTCAATTTCGGCGTAGGTTTCGCCACCTAATTCAAGCCAGCCGTAGCATCAGCATCACGAGACAGGACATCTCGTTTGACTAATTGCTTGTAATTAACACAAGCTGAAAAGATGATAGCAGTCGATCCCTTTTAGTCAACACCAACAACTGCCGAACAGCATACAGTCTATGGTTGCGACTCTGCAACGAAAAGCAGAATTGATAGAAAACATATTTTTATCCAGACAGTTATCAGAGTTGAAACTTGATGGTCGCTTATAAAACTTGATACGTGCTGTTAAATCAGAGCGGCTGACTGCTGCATGAAAGGATGCAGCTGTTGCGTGATAGACGCGATCATTGGGAGTGGTTCGAAAAATCCGACGCATAGGATATGAAAGGTAACAGACAGCGATATTTAGTATCACACTCTCAAACACATTAAGCTCTCAAATTTCCATCCAACTCTCAAATTTTCATCCAACTCTCAGCCCGTGCTGAACAAGATATAAGCCCAAAATACACTGACTCCACCTCCGCTAAATTCACCTCGGCACGCGACGTTGCCGAGACGCACGTGAACGCACTTATCGTGGTTACTGACCCTTCTGGGATGCAAATAAACCTCAATCGTCCTTGGGCACCTTCCAGGGCCAAGATAGCGCGAGACAAGCTTTTTGGCGTGAGCTCTGAGCGCATGGAGCGACTTGAAGGACTCTTCGAAGGGATATCAGAGCATCAAGACCAGTTCATGACGAATCAGCTTAAAATTTAAAATCAGTTGAGCTACCAGGCTGAAACAAGGCCCCGCCACCCTCGGAGCACTCGTTCAACGTTTCAACTGCATTGTGAGCGATATCTGGTCACGCGACTGTCGCATATGAAAAAGATTGCTTGACGAGCCAAAGCTAACCGTTGCACCGACTGCAACCCCGCGCATGCCCTTGCCTAGCTCACCGCCGCAACAAAGGAAGCAACCAACATCAGCGCATCAGTTCAAGCCACCAGAAGGCTATGTACAAAACATACTGAAGCCTCGGGACCTGGACTGGCTCGATTTCACTAAGTTCTTAGGAAAGAGACTTTCTTGGGTGTGGTTGCCGACTTCAAGGCGCGGGGAATGCGTGTTCTACCGCAAGTTGCGCGGCGCAACTATTGAGTGGAGGCGAACGGCCGGAGTACTTTAAGATTCTTTCTCTAAGCGGAAAGCTGGAAGGCTCGGCCTCGAGTTGCTGTGAAATAGATACTGCCACTATGGACGGTGGTGTTAGACACTCTATACAACGCCATGAATAGCATGTTTTGATGCTATACATGACGCCGATCCCATTTGTCGATGGGGTCGGATTGATGATGATCGAGAAGGATCGCAGCAGGACGTGGCCCGAGAACTATCAATACTTGGCGTACGAGTCGGAGCGGTCGAGTAGCTCGGAACTGAGTGTGCTTGGATGTTTGTGCAAGTCGTCTCCTGTACACATCTAGGCCGCAATGTTAACTGGGCTAAACGCCCAGAGAGCTGACTATCACGTGCAAGCCGCCGCATTGGTTGCATTTGCAATTGACTTCAAAGCCAGCACTAGCAAGCAAAGAAACGGTCGTGCTAAATGCTCAGGTAATGGACAAAGCGGTCGGTATACTAGCGATGGGCGAGTGGACCAAGGTCGGCGTAGAGGGGGGATACGTCGCACGAGTTGGGACCTCCGATTCAAAAATATGTTATGGATGCGGGGACGCCGTAAAGCTAATTGCCCCAAGAAAAAGGTGGGCTGACTCGGAATCTGGAAGAGCCGCACTAGTCGTTGGTACTGGTACATTTACTTGTACTTGTCCTGACTCTACTATATAATCCTTAGACAGTGGGCCAAGCTTGCGCCTCGTAAATAATTCGATGATGCTGAAAAATGCAGTGGTGTGTAACCTTACGTGTTGCGCGGCGAATAACACTATGGTCGAAGTGACTAAGGTTAAATCAATTGAGCTGAAAAGAATGGTCGATGGAGAGAGGTCCTTGCCGACCTATCTGAAGTTCATTATGCTAAAAACATAGCTGACAAAATCATTAGCTATGGCGTATTGGAAGAGCGGGGGATCTGTCTCGAGAGACACGGCAACCACAGCTACGTGGTGCGTCAAGCGGACAAGATGAAGATCTTTGAGGTCTTCCACCGCAACAACGTTCTAACAATTGACTTAAAGTGCGAATTAAAGAAAGATGTACCAGCTCAAGGGGTTTATCGCAATATATATACGAGTACTTGAGCAATACTGTACTCACGCGGCTTACAGGCACGTGATTGGGCGTCCGCATGTGATCAAACATTTCGTCTTCGGCGGGCAGTTGTTCTACATCGCGGTCAGAATTAATTGACTGAGATAAGTCTTTCTCCACCACTAAGCTCCTTTTTTGCCTTAGGTGAGCTTTTCCTCGACTTAACATAGATCTGCTTAGTCTTTGCTGTGATCTTCTCTTGCTGTAGAAAAGCTGTCTCCGGCTCCTTCCACTTAGCGACCTCGTCCTGCTCTAGCATAGCGCGTCGCAGATCAGGGTATAACGCTCGAGCTGCGCCTGTACTTGTGCATTCTGATCACTGTTAGGCATCACAGCGTTTCGAAAGTGCTGCGTCATAAAAAAATCTCTCCTGTGGCAGGGAAACCCTGAAACCATTAATTCCATTATTTTTGCCGATTATCATTCCGACCTGAGGTCTTGGCTTCCACGCTCTTTTGCTGAGGTTTCTAAACACCGCTCAAGTACTGCTGATAGTCACTCTATCCGATAAGGTTGGTACAGTACCTGTCAACATTTCAAGGGCGACATACGTCTCGTATTGGTGCTGCACGAGATCCGTTGAAAACATGCGTAACATACCCTCGCGTTCTCAACGGCATTGTCTCAAAAAAGGACAGCGGTAGACCACTTTTCAAACAACCCCCCCCCTCTCGTATGATGCACCTCGCCATATTTAGTAGTGTCCTATGCATTCTTTCAGCTTTACGGTTTAATGCCTGGTTCGCGGCTTCGCTGACTTGGCGTCTTACGCCAGCCGACTTGTACAAAGCGAGGCAATAGCACATGGCGATGATTAAGTGAATACGCAGATTATACATAAACCTTTTCGGCTGTGATGGAGATAATATCTGGCAAGGTAATTCTCGCGGTGTTAAGAATATGGGGCGTGCATGCACGTCACGGCAATGTACCAAGTGCTTACGTGAAAGCCGACAAGGAAGAAGGTTTGAAGATTTTACTTCACATTCCGCAGGGGATTGATATTGACGCCGAACAAATGGAAAAGCTTGGCGTAAAAGATAAGTGACATCTCACTTTGATGATCAAAAAAGGCTTGTACGGCCTGAAACAATCAGGTAGGCTATGGAATCTTATGATCCACAACATATTGAAGTCACTTGATTTCAGCTAGTGTTGCACAGACGGCTTCTTATACATAAAAAGGATGTCGAGGGTAAGACACTCGTGGGTATATACGTGAATGACGTACTAAACCGGGTACCAGTGTAACGAAATTACACGAAGGTGGGTATTTTACATACACACGTGCCACACCAATGTGGTGTGGCGGTACCTTGGGTACAAAAGCAGGCCAACTGTGACCGAAGCTCTTGAAGCTTGTCTATCTCTGCACATAGTGCATTAGTATCTTGGCTACAGTAGCTCGGCTACAGCAAGTGTACAAAAGGTTGACGAGCCTTTCAATGACATGAAGGTTGTTGAGCTAAGGTTCTCAGCGTTGTTACCCAGTTTATTGGCATCGTGTTAGACTGTAACGCCGAAAAAAAAATTGGCTGGGCGTTAGACAAGAATGTGTCATCGAAGAAATGCTCGAGAAGTTTGGGTTGTCCAAGTAGGCATCAGTAAGAGTGCCGATCGATGAAGTAGATGGAGAAGACGGTGATGCAGACAGCGCACTACTACCGTCGAGAGGAAGCGGCACACCACCAGAAACGACTGTGCAGATGTTCTAGTCGATGATGGCAGTCTACTATAGATTAGCCGGTGCACGTGCCCCGATATAGCGTTTGCAGTACACCGAGCGACCCAAGTTCGCATACGTCGAGCGAAGGTGACTGGTGCTTAGTTAAAAGATAGCCAAGTACCTGAAGGGTACCAAGTATTTCAAGTTCATGATGCGCGGTGACCCATCTGCTACCCAAGCAGAAGGCGTACTAGTCGAGACTTACAGCAACTCTAATTACGCACTGGACAAGACTAACCGCAAATCGGTGAGCGACTGCGTGTTAATCGTTGGCGGCATGACTGGGGTCTAGCTATGCGAGAAACAGAAATGCATGGCCCAATCTACATGGAGGTCGAGTTTGTCGCGGCTTCTCAAGCTGATGCTAAGATATTCGGCATAATGGAGCTCCTTAAAAAGATCGGTGGGCTTATAAAAACAAGATCAATACTTCACGTCGACAAATATGCAGCGATAGCTCAGATCAAGTGTACCCGAGCTACTGAAGCTACGCTACTTATGCACTATGTGCAGAAGAAGTAGTCAGGCTGCTGTAGCAAAGCTACGTATGCACTATGTGCAGAGGAAGACAAGCTCAGAGAGCTTCTACGTCTTAAAATGCTTGACCCTTCCTAGGCTAGCTCGTAAGCTTGTGCCTATCGGTAGTAACAACCGAGTCTCAGAGAGACTAGTATCAAAGGTACTGATTCCTCAGGAGGAATAGAAAGCTCAAGCAGTGATGCTTATAGAGCAGGTTTGAAACTGATTTATATTTATGTTTATCTTCTAACACTAAATATAGAAGCACCTACTCTATACTTAGTGCTAGTCACTATTTACTGGCTCTATAGCCTGTTATTATTATGCAAACATGCATAGTCACTATACTTTAAATAAGCATAGTGACCACGTGGCTCTCTGCCACGATGTGACCCTTCGTATTTCAGGTACCAAGGTACAGTCACACCACATTAATGTGGCAGGTGTGTATGTACAATACACACCTTCGTGTAACCCCGTTACATTATAGTAAGGATACGTATGGTAGACCCAAGCATATTGACGTGCGGTACAAGTTTATTAAGGATCTCGAGAAGATGTATGTAATCAAAGTGCGAGTCCGAGAATTTGCATGCGGACATCCTGACCAAGGTTTTCCCAGCGCCGCAACTTAGCGAACTACGCGGACTTGTGATGTTCAGTGACTAAGGATTTCGATTCGGGAAGGAGTGTAAAATCAGAGTGACCTTTGAGATGAAAGGGCGCAACTTCTGACATGAAAGGGAGTGACTGATGACATGCAAGGATGCGAATGTTGCGTGAAAGACGGAATGGATGGAAAAATCGACGCAAAGGTGATTAAAGGTAGCGGACCGTGATAACTGGATCACACTCTCAAATACGTTTGGATCTCAATATTTTATTTATTTCTCATCCCGTGCTGAACACGTGCCGATATAAGTTTGTCCATCCAAGGCTCGCAACCAATGCATCTAGGTCTGTACTAGCGCGTTGACATCACGCTTACAGCTGTACTGTCAATGTCGAATGAAGACATGGATGTGTACATCATGATCAGTGCAGTACCTTTCCGCATTGACGTCAATGCCGTGGAGCCTTGACAATTGTCGCTATCTTATTCGATCATGTTCACTGGTCGTTTTACAGTATCGAGCAATTTGCTGTGACGAGGGTATCCATGACTTGTTTTCAGCAGCGACA